TCCTTTTGGCACAAGTGACAGGAATCCCATCCAAATGATGTGTTTGGATTTCAGAAGTGGATCAATCAATCTGGTGAGCTGCAGCCACCAGTGGATAGAACTTTGGTACCCCTCCAGGTTGTGAGGCAGCAGAAATACCCAAAGACACCTGCCCCAAAATGCAAAAAGAATCCTGGAAGGAAAAATGTCAAGGGCAAGGGTAAAGCACAGGAAGAGGGAGTGGCAGATGATAGTGCAGATGATAGTGTGGATGATAGTGCAGATGACAACACAGATGACAGTTTGGATGATCATGGCAAGGCTGAGGTGAGCAATGTTGGAACAGATGATCCCTCCCCTAAAAAGGTGTGCCATGTGTGATTTTCATGCATGACAGATCAGCACTAATGTGATTCTGGTCTTCAGGTATCTGGTGGGAGGCAAAACCATGCCAAGACACCATTCCCTTCTTGTTCCCACTCAAATACCCCACCAGCTGATGGTTCCCATAGTGAGTGGCTCTCTGCACCTCCAGCCCATGCAAAGACCCCAGTGCATCATCCATGAAATAAAGTGCTAACTGACAATAATGGGAGGGAAAGCAATGGCCATGATTCCAATGATGAAGCTGATGAAGACACTTATTTGCCCACCCTATCCAATTCAAAGAAATTGGCAACATCCCTGAATAGTGAGCTTCCCACTGTAACTTGTATTCACAGCAAACCCTGATCTGCACTCAGGGAGCAAGTACATAACTGAACTACAGGACCACTCAGAATATGCAGATGAAGATGGATTGGAGAGCATTCCTTTCACTGACCACCCAACTGAGGAGGGGTCAACAGGCAGAAAAAATGGTGGAAAGCTGAAATCCACCCTGAAGCACACACACAAGGCAAGTTTGGTCATGTTGAATCAGCTGTTATGGCAAACAAGTTTGTGCTGTGTGTTAAGCAGGCTCTGTCAGAATTGAGTGAGCCAGACATGAATCAATGTCCACCTGGGGCCAAATACTCATCCAAGTCCAACAATAATGGATCTGTGACCACCAATGCAGCATCTGCAAATGTGAAACAGGGTGTCCCTGGGAGCACCTGGAAGTCACCTCATGTCAGAAAGGCCCCTGCAAGGCCAGATGCAGATGTTCCATCTCTTGATGCAAAGAGATCATGCAAGCAAACAGGCAGCAATCAGAAGTGGAAGTAGTTGTCAAATCCCTCAAACAGTCAGGGTGGAAACCTTTTTTGGAACTCATGTACAGTCTATAGAGGGCTTAGCCTAGTTTTACACATTAGAATACAAGTGTATGGAATGTATGGTAGCTCATGACACCATGGTGGTTGTGAGAGGTGTCTTTGATATCAGAGAGAGGGATAGTTAAGTGGGACAGCTGAGCAGGACAATTGAGTGGAGAGCTGAGCAGGACAGGTCTATGTATTGGCCATGTGGAAGCGATTGGTAGCTATCTATGTAGGGAGATATTGCTGCTCATCTCCCATGTATTGCTGTTACCCAAAATTTGGCTCTGTCTGCCATTGTCCAACCTTACTTCCCATGGTGTGAATGATATTCTTGCCATTGTTCCTACAAGTTTAAATCTTGATTGATCATTGAGCTATCAGTAAACCCATTGTCATTGAATATGTCCACTGAACAGTCCTGCCAAGTTTGTTTCCATCATCAAGGTGAGGTTGTCTTCATTGTTGGATCCAGTGACCTAAGCCATCCACAGCTAATGTAAGACCAATCAAGCCAAGGCAATCAAGCTCCTGTGTGAAGCATTCCAAAAATCTGGAGGAGATGCTAGTACAACTGTGTGAGTTGACAGAGACAACCCCTCCACCAATTGTCTCAAGTGGAAGGGCAGATATGGTGGGGTCAAACATGGATATTGCAGCCAGTGAGTGAACATGATTCCTCTCCAAGCTCAACAACAAATGTTCTTTTGCTATAAATTAATGCAAAAACTTGCTGGATCAGTTCCTGCAGGAAAGAGAGCCAACCACTCTGGCAGCAGGTGGAATTGTGGCCAGTGAGTTGGCATGATTGCCCTTCAAGCTAATGAACAAACTAATTTTCTAGTAATAGATCCACAAGAGAACTTGATGAATTGGTTCCTGAATGAATGGGAACCAACTGCTCCCCCAGCAGATGGTATGAACATGGATCTACTCAAGCAATTGCTGAATGCACAGGAACCATTGGCACCACCAGTCATGGATGAGAAATTAAACAGGATGGATGGGTCTTCAACACCTGCACAAGACATTACTATGCAAGTCGATTTTCTGGCAGACTTGCAGAATGTGCAGGAACTGTCTCCTCTGCCCATCACCCATGAATCATCAAATCTGAAGGACCAATTTTCTTGATCCAATTCTCTGAATAACCTGCTTGCTCAATTGAGGATATGAGGGAACCAATGCCTCTCTTGCTTGTTTCAAATGTACCCATTGAATCTTTTGACTTGGCAGTGGATGAGGACAATGGCACAAACTGTTTGACTTTTGGCATGCCTGAATGATCAGAGATGAGGGATCTTTTTGAAGAAATATGCAACAGTGAGAATTTATTTGGTTCTATTCATGTAATCAGTGATATCCATCAATTATGTAGGTGAACTTCCATCCACACAGCAATCTCTTCAAGTGGATCAATGGGGATTGGCACCTGTTCTGCATTGCAATCAAGGTATGGGCATGAGCTTAATCTGATACACCATTGACATTGATAATTTTAGTCCTGCACACCTTACATGCCACAGTATCTTGCTACCACAGAAACACCACTCCCAGTGACATGCCATTCAATCCCACCCTCAATAGGCACCTTGTGTGGGCTGCAAATGCCATTGTGAGAGAATTGGGCACAGCTGCAAGGGACCAGTATGGTGCAGCCTCTCAGGTCAATCTGGCATTCATCCTATCATAAACAAACCAATCACCCATTAACTAGTGCATTTCTGTGAAGGGGAAACTGGTATGGAGGTCAGGGTGAAGGTAAACCCTCTCTCACTCCAGGTACCATTGGGAGGGATATGCTACTGAGCCACCAGGTTGCACATTCCTGGCCTTCTATCTGGCACTGCATATCTCCTTTAGTCTTATATGACCAAGTAACTCCTTCCCAGTGATCCCCAGTTCAGCTCAGAGCACAGTCTGGCCAACCCTCCCATGATACTGGGAGTGCCCAGGAGGGTTGTGCTTCACCTGAGCCTTCAGGCAGGCTTCTCTTCAGCTGTGATGTAGTAGTTAGTGGGTGATTGGTTTGTTTATGATAGGATTAATGCCAGATTGACCCTCCACATCATTCTCAGCTCTCACAGTACTGATTAGTTCCAGGACACATGGGGCATTGGTGGGGAAACAGTGCAGGAGATAACTGCCAGTGGGTTTCTGAATCAACCAATGGTGCTGATATCATATTTTATTGATTATACTATAGTGTACACCAGAATTTGCTGAAGTTGTCCTGAGAGAATGTCCCTAACAAGCCAGAGTGGTGATTCCTTGACTTGTGTTACAGCAAGGAGGCTTAGTGTTGTAAAATCACTGTTTGGCATTGTTTGTTTGTTGACAGATCATTCAGTAGACCATGTGATACATTATGTAAGTATTGGTGAGCATCTCACCATGTTTTATATGTGTTCCCAAGGACTACATCCCCAGCATATCACAAAATTCCATAATTGTCCCAATGAGCTCTCATTTTCATTTGGGTATTCTGTCATCAGTTTCTATCCAAATATTGTGTAATATTGCTCATCAGAGAGCCATGACCAGCCACTTTGATCCATCCACCAACACCTTGGACTCAATAATGATAGTTCACTCACTACACCATGATTAATGAAAAACATGCAAACATTGGGACAATTTTGTGAGCCACTGTAGTATAGCAGACAGCAAGCAGAGCTAAGTATTCTGTTCTTTTTTGCATTTTTACACTTTTTACTACACTTCTTTTCTCCAGCAAGAACCTCCCTTTTGGGTTGAGCACAATACTTGCCCATCACTGACAATTACTAATTCTAGGTACTATCTATTACCTATTCCTACATCTGGAGCCCACTGTGAGGGGGGTTCTGTTCATTTTGGGGAAAGAAGCCACCTCTTTATCATTGCACAAAATTTGTTCAGGATTCAGTTTGGACAAGCTAAGTGTTTAGAGTCTCCATTCTAGTTACAGTCTACACTCAGGAATCTAGGAAATTTTCAGAACTATTTTTCAAGCAGCAAATGTTGAGCAGGCAATGAAGTCAAAGATCCCTCAAGTCAAGAAGCAAATTTGAAGGGAAATTAATAGTCAAATTTTTGCGAAGAATCCATGAGAATGCGCCAGAAGAACTCAAGGGAATGCCATCAAGGCATTCAAGGGATGCACCATGGTTCTTGGGATGGGCATCTGACCTTTTTAGGTATTTTGCAGGGGTTCAAAGTCTTTGCAAGCGTGAGAATTGCTTCAATGACCAAGAATGGGCAAAATGGGCTTGCTGGTATGCAGGCAGTGAAGTCTCCAACTCATGGTATGAATTCATCAAAGATCAGTTGAATTGGCCCAAATTTGTGGTGGCCATTGCACATTTGTATCCTGGGTCACAGAGGTTGGGCCAGCAGCACTCAAAGGATGATCTTTACAGCCTCATTGACAGCTGAGCAAGGAGAGAAGTTTGTACAGAGGAAGAACTGACAATCTACAGGCTTTATTTTCTAGATTTAGCAATGTATCTACAGGTTTCAAGGCAACTCAAGGCTGATGAACTCAGAGACCTTTATTTACATGGCTTTGATAAAGAATTTCATCATGAAATCTTGCAGAAAATGCGATGCAACAATTGACAGCGACATTCCAATGACCCATGGCCCATGGAACAAGTAACAGCTGTGGCTACAAAATTGCTACAGAAAGGATTTCACTCAGAGCAACCTTGGACAGGCACAGAATGTTACATTTGACCATGAAGTGACCCAGAATTGAGTTTGGACAAGCAATGACTATCTATGAAGTGTTTTCCAACTATGCCTACACATGACTCACTGATGACCAATATGCAGGGATCTACAGAGTTGTCAGGATACATAGAATGCAAGAAAGTGCCAAAACCAGTTTTGACAAGTCATGTGCAGCCATGCAGTCCACCCAAGAAGGCAAAGAATGAAGACCAAAGCCCTGGCAGGCTCATCAAAGCAGTGACAGTGACCCATTTCAAGACAAAGGAGTTTTCTTCAATTGGGAATGAACTACTGACTGCCAAGTTACAGGGAGCAGCAAAGCTGGAGCAAGTTGAACCTGTAGTAGTGGAAGGACTACTCATGACAAAGGTGCCAATTGAATTCAAGGCAAGTGAGCATGCTCAAGGGGGTTTTTCATTTTGTTCTCACCAAGTTTCTCAACTAGCTACTGATACTTTCAGCTTAAGATGTCAAAGTCTCAAAGAAAACACCATTGAGGTCCCTGCAGTCAGCAAAGAGGTTCAGCAAATGAGCCACTTGTATCAAAGATTCCACTCAAGTTTGAAGCAGGGAGGCTCAAAGAACACATGAAGCCCACAAGAGTTGAAGTTGAAGAGCTCAAAATGCTCACAGGCAGCCCCAAAGCAAAAAGGTTGGCAGATGAAGAGATTGTTGACTCACACAGGGCACCACAGCACACAAATCACACCAAGTCAAGGGTTATTGCAAGAAGAATAAGGATTGAGGAGCCATCAAGGCTTGTCACACAAAGGAAGCTGCTGGAAGAAATTCTGCAAGTCGAAATGTTGAAGCACATGGTGAGGGTGGATGACCTCGCACTTGAAATGTTCCACAACCATGTGATGCCAGTGATATATATTTTATTAGGAATTCATCAAGAGTATTGACACACACTCAGTATTAGGACTTGTGCAGAAAGTGCTGCGATGTTGACTAAGCAAAGTCATGTGATCACTCTGCACATCAAGGCCACATGCACTCAAGTACCACATACTGACAACTCTAGTGTTACAGGCCAACTACACAAGATTGCTGTGATCACAGGATATGAAAAACAGGGCAACCAATGCACTGTGTGCAAGGTACCATGAGTGATGGCGACAAGGACAAGGGCAACAATGGCAGTGGATAGTGCAATAGCAATGATGACAATGATGACTTTACTTAGTGCAGATCAACAGCTGGGCAAGATAGGAGATGCCATTTGATGGGAATGGGGCATGAGGAGCACAGGTACCAAGCTCAATGGCTCAGAGGTTCATTTTGATTTCAAGACACTTTACTTACATCTATGCTATTCTAGGGAAGGTAGCTATCTACAATGAACAGCGACTGCAGTACAAAGAAGAACAATGACGATGATGCTTGGCACAGACCAATGGCTACATGAGAGTGGAAGTGCCATTTGATGGAGATGGGGGCATGAGGAGTGCAGACACTGAGCCCAACAGCTCATTGGTTTGTTTTGATTTCAGAACATTTTACTTACAACTACCTTATTCTAGGAAAAGTGGATGTGTGAGATGATGCTCAAATGATGTCTGAGCAGCAGTGATTCAAGGATCTATGATGATCTACCAGGAAAGACAGTGGACTGTCAAGGAGAAGCTACACAACAAGATACAATGGCACTACTATGAATGGGGCAAGCAGTCAGAGCAAGCTGAAGGCACAACAGTGGTTTTGTTCTTTTCATTCAGTATGGAAACTACACCTGAGGAGATTGTATACAGATGAGCAATGGTGACAATGACAACAACTACAGCAACAACTACAATGATGACTACAGCAACAACTATGATGACAACTAGACTTACCACAGATCAATGGTCGTGCAATGCAAGAGTGGCCATACGATGGATATGAGGCATGGTGGAGACAAATGACAAGCTTGATAGCTCAAGGTCCTGAGTTTATTTCAGGATATGCTACTCACATCTTCATTATTCTAGCAAAGGCAAATACCTACAATGAACTACAATTGTGATAGAGAAAACTATGATGGTTTGTGATCAAAGGTCATGTGGAAGTACAGCAAGGCTGGTGTGACAACTACAGCTCGAACTACAATGGTGATCATTGAGGATATGACATCCAATGAATGTGGAAATGGAGCCCAACAGCTCAAGTTTTTATTTTTGTTTCATGGCTTTTTACTTACAGGTACATTATTCTAGAATAGACAACAAATCAGAAGAAAGGATGCATTGACTTACAGAGCAACAAGTGAAACCAAGAGGAGTCACAAGAGGAATGTTCAGAGCAACTCTGCAGACTCATACACAAGAACTGCTACAAATGGCAGTGCAACAGTGGAATGCAGAGTCACAACAAGATGCACGACATGCAAGCAGCTTCGAGATTGTGCTGAGTGGACCTGAAGGCCCAAGTTCTAGTTTTTTCTTTCAAGTATTTTACTTAAAGCTGTATTGTTTCAGGGAACATGAATTTTTGCAGAGTAGCAACAAATCTTCAGGCATTGGTGCACCTACAGTACAAAGGTCCAGATTGGGATGACCTGCAACTGACTCCCTTCAAGAAGAAGATGCCAACCTTATCAACAACTAAATTGGTTTCATAAGGCGATGTATCATTGGACAGATAATGAAGGGAGACACTGTCTCTGTGTTGGATATCATGCAGAGACATCATGATGCCCCAGGTCATATGGAAAACATCACAGATGAGTGGGATGTGTTGGATGTATTAAAAAATTTGGGTGTTACATGTATCATACAGAACACCTTGCTACAGCAAGGCATGAAGGACCTCTCCATCTACATCAAGATCAACATCAAAGGCACTGGAGCCATCATTGACACAGCTATCACAGCTGGTGACCATAGACTCATCTACATGAGTTCTGCAAGTGTTGTATTTAATGGCACCTGTGTCATGAATATCAATGGACAAGTACCTTCTCCAGAGAAGCTGTTCAATGCATGTAACAATGCCCATGAGATATTCAGGCCCAGAGAATACCAGATGGAGGATGGAGCATTTCAAGCATATTGGCATGGCACCTGTTTAGAGAGCATTGTGAATGCACACATACTCAGAAGGGACAGGCTCACCCCTCATCCCTCTTACTCTTCTACCACACCAAGCAAACTCAGGCTAGACCCCAAGAGTGTGGCAGCAATGCTCAATGAACTTCTACACCATGCTCTCCCTCCCATGTGTGCCATAACTGAATATCACCACACAGTGCACAGCTCTCTGCAGCTACTCAGTCCCTATGTCACATCCACATCCAACACTGAATCCATCCTATCTGCATTCAACACCCCATTTGACTCACATGAACTTGAACACCTCACTGTCCATCCTTGAGCTGACAGACAAGCATTCTTCATCACAAATGGAGAACTGATTTATTTCTGGGACATTACAGGACTATACAATGAGCACGAGTGAGGACTATCAAGCCCAAAGGTACAAAGTACATATGAGCAACTAGGGGAGGGAACAAGAGTACAAAGGATGGTGGAGTGGTTTGCCAGTGATTGATGGTTGTTTGAAGCAACAGAAGTCATTCGATGGAGGAGAGGCATAGGAGATTCATGCACTAAGCTCCACAGCTCAATCTTTCTCTTTTATTTTGTGTCATATCACTTACAGCCACATTTCTATAGGAAAACCCAGTACATACAACAGAGTATGAGAACATATGAGACAGGACAGAGGACTGTCAACACAGAACTATGCAGTGCAGTACAACAGTTCTACTATGAGTGGGGAGAATGGGTACAGTATCCAAGAGAAAGATCACTAACATTACAGCACAATATTGAGGAGAACAGACTGCTCAATGGTAAGGTTGAGAGGCTGCATGGTGGATACTTGTGACAATGACAAGACTTAGCATGGACCAACAGCCATGAGAGATAGGAAGTGCCAGGCAACAGAGGCAAAGCACAATGGACATGGACCCTGAGCCCAACAGCTCTAGCTTTCATTTTGATTTTAGGATGCCATACTCACATCTTCATTATTATAGGGGAAACAGTTATCTACAATGAATGGTGATTGCCATACAAGAGTCCACAACAGACTATGAGCAAGGGACACATGGACATACAGAGAGACAAGTATGTGGAACACTGTTCAAACCACAATGATGATCTTCAACAGTAGAAAGAGAACTACAACATATGGGAGGCATTGGGGGCATACTAGATGAGCTCAAAAGCTCTAGGTTTTGCATTTCCTCCAAGGATTATTACTTATGACTACCTTACTCTAGAAAGTTCAAAGCCCTATGAAGCTTGAATGGAGTGCCAAGCGATGACAACACAGTAGTACCCACTCTCAGCATGAAGAGACACACACCAAGTGACAGGGGTTCACACACTGAGCCCAAGTGCTCATTTTTGTCTTTTGTTTTTATGACATTCTACTCACAAACCTACAGGTCTAAGGTATACAGCAAAGTCAATGCACAGTCACTGGTATCCAAAGGAAAAGAAGATGGTGTGGGTTTGCAAGTAGAGCATGAAGAGCTAATGACAAAACTCAAGAAGGGGAAATTCGAAGCCAAGGTGCCCTTTTCAGTTTTGATTCAAGTATATTCTACTGCGAAGTACAGAGTCCCTAGTGCAAAGGCAAAAAGGATCAACAGGGACAGACAGTTCAAAGCTGTTCATCAGCACTTAGTACCAAGACTTTGTCCACCCAATGGTGAGCAAGGAGGTCAACAGTGGAAGTCAAACAAAGTTAGTGCCAGTACCCATTGGGGTCGAAGACCTATCTTCAAAACAGGTTCGAGAGTCTACAGGCTGAAGGTGATGTGTTTTACTTGGACATGAGCATATACTACATTGAAGTACTGTGGTTCTAGGACTGAGAAAGTAATGAACCAAGATGGGCAACTTGAGGTTGCTCAGCGATACTTAGTGCAAGGGCTTTGGCCCCCAAATGAAGTGCCAGACAAAGTATGAGGAGTCAAGCATGTGCACATGCAGAGAGTTGAGGGTATGAGAATGAAGAGGACAGTATAGTGAAAGTCCTGGTACATATATGTCTTTGAACTGCCTTGTAAAGGGCAAATGTCCACTGTACCAGCTGCAGCACTGCATCACACTGCATTACCATTCACACAGAGACTGTGCCTCAAAGAGCAGTCATCAACTTGTTCTGCACTCGATTTATCACTCACTTGTTCATTTTCCCAGAGTTTATCTCCATCATCATTTGGTTCAAGGTCTGGGTTGCAAGGGGAGTGTTAGAGAGGCAGAGTGTGTGTTAGAGGCCAGGTGGCATTTGGCAAGCAGAAAGAGTCACATTCGAGGGCAAGGAGTTTTGAGGAATGAGAGGGTTGATCTGTGAGGTCAGGAGCATGTCTTGGGAAAGGAGGGAGCTGTGTTTGAAGGGTGCGAGGTTGGAGAGCAAAGGATATGTAGTGAAGTCGAGGGTGAGCAGGCAAGAGGTGCAGTGGCAGTGTCAAGGGAAGTAGAAGTGAGGATGAGGACATTTGGGCAAGGAGGAGAGTGACCAAGGATGGTTGAGTTCTAAACCACCCCTCAGATGTAGGGAACAAGATCAAATTCCCTACGAGAAGCTGTCTTGGTCAGGGGTTTAGGGGTGGAGAGATTTCTTTTTGTTTTATTTATTTCTTTTGTTTTTTGTGTTTGTATCACTGGACTTAGTGGCGAGCAGCCATGTTGCTGACTAAGCACATGCACTGTGTTCACACAAGTTCAGTTTACCATACAAGCAATCCATGTAAGAGGCCCTCAGTAGCAGGGTGAATTAGCCTTGCATTTTGGCAAGTTTTCAAGGACAGTTTTATTACTGTGGGGAGTACCCAAAGGGCCAGGAGGACTGGCAAGAGGTTTAGTATAGCAGACAGCAAGTAGAGCTAAGTATTCTGTTCATTTTCGCATTTTTACACTTTTTACTACACTCCTTTTCTCCAGTGAGAACCTCCCTTTTGGGTTGAGCACAATACTCACCCATCACTGACAATTACTAATTCTAGGTACTATCTATTACCTATTCCTACAATGCACATCCTCCCTTCTTGTCTCTGCCCACTCTGCCCAGGTATGGTACAGCCCCCACTCATTGGCTGTCCACTCCACTGCCTCTGCCATCCTCTCAAAGGCCAGCACAGCAATCTCATGCACTTCAGCCTGCAGCTGCCACTGCTGCTCCCACTCCACCCACTGTGTGTGGACTCCCACACCTGAGGGACCCTCAAGTGGAGTTGCTGGTTTGTCTTCCTCTCCACCTGCCTCCCACTTGTCATCTGCCTCTTCTGTCTCTGTTGCTCTTGCCTTTCCCTTTCCTTGTGGTCTCTTCTTTTTCTCCCTTTGGGAGCTTCCCATCCCTGCCCTCTTCTGTGAGGGTCCTGCCACTGCCTCCTCCCACATCCAGCTACATGTCTTTTTCTTGTTGTGACAGGGCATGCAGGCCCTGGTCTTTCCCTGCCCTGGCTCACACTGCCCCACCATCAGACTCACTATACAGTGAGTGCAGGGGGGCCTCCTGGTCACAGTGACCACTACAGAGGTCCCAGGGACCCCCTGAGTGGTGTTGACATTGTACACCATGCTGCTTGGTCTGAAAAGGAAAGAGTACAAGTCAGCTCCACCTGACTCACAGCACTTCATCACTCACCTTTGTGTGGCCTCTCTCTGCTTGGCCTGGGCCCTCTCCTCTGATGCCCTCTGCTGCTGTCTCTCAGCCTCCACCACTGCCACTTTCACCCTCTGCACCTCCTCTTCCTTGGCTGCCTTCCTCCTCCATGCTTCCTCTTCCTCTCTCTGCCCCTGCTCTGCCTCTAGTCAAGCCTCCTCTGCCTTTCATCACTTGTCCTCCTCTCATTTGGCCTTGTGCTCTGCCTTGTGCTCTCACTCCTTCTTCTCCACCTCTTCTCACTGATGTGCTTTTTCCATTGCCTTCTCATGTTCTGTGTCCATTGAGTCATCTGTAAGGATGACTAGGTCATCATCAGCAACCTGGGAGTAGTCACAAGAGTGACCAGGGGTGGGCTGGGGGGTGTTGGTCTGGCACTGAGAGGACATGATAATGGGGGGATGGGATATGAAGGTTCAGTACCCTAACATGTGTTTTCAAGCAGGTCTTTGAACTCCAATGGAGCTCCACTGCAGCTGGACCCATTGTCCTCAAGGCATCAACAATTTCAAATGATTGACTCATGTTGATCTCATTCTGAACAAGTGGCCTTCAGGGGTTCAGGCCCTAGGGGGGGAGCACTGTCACAACCATGCATTTGTCCTAGGTCCCCACTTACTCCACATCCCTCTCTGCAGGTCATCCACTCATTCTGCACCAACTCTGCCTGTCCTCTGTTGGTTATGAACCTTCTCTGCTCTGACTGCTGTCAGACTTGTGTTGCTCTACTGTCAGACTGAGCAGACCATTCCCTGAGTGGTCATGTGACTTCCTTTTGAACTTCTCTCTGACAGCATGCAGTCAGGTACTCTGCAGTGCACATACCACATGGTCCAGCACCTGGACTGTTCCCTTTTTGGGATGTTCTATGTTACTTGTTCAAATGTCCTCTGCCTTCCCTTCATTTGCCATCTAGGAAGTTTTACTTGAAAATTTATGAGTCCCTGTATGTCAGTTCTGATTCTGATTACTGTACCTCTGTAGTGAGTATAAAAGCATGTACCATACTTTGCTGTTCTTCAGTACAAATATCAACTTAGTTCCTACTCCCTCTGTCTCTGTCTTCTGCCTGTCAGAGTTACCTCTGACTATCCATCTGTTCTCTCTCTCTTAAATATGAGGGCTGAGATTGTGCAAGGGGGTAGCACATGAGCTAAACCCAATGCCCTCACTCTGCTCCACTTCTGTCTCAGCAGACTTCATCCCTGCTGACCCTCTGCCAGTCAGAGTTCTATTCCTCTGTGTCAGACTTGCTTCCAAACCACTCCCCAGACTTTGTCTAGCATCAGAGTTGATCAGAGTAGGCCCAGACTTGACAACCAGACACTCTCACCAAGATGCAGGCACCAGCAATCAGGCCCTCAGTGACACTCAGCATGCCTACCTTCTGTCCCCTGGCTGGGGGCCATCCACATTTGTTTTCTGCAAGGATTAATTTTCCAAACATCAGGACATGGATAACCTATGGGCTGAAATCAATTTTTGAATAAGAGCAGCATTGAACTGCACATGCTTACCTTAACTAGGATGGGACTCTTCAAGAGCTCCAGGCATGCCTTGTTGTCCTTCTTACAAGCAGGCTTTCCAGTAAATAGATCCAGTGAAATGTTATATGGAGTGAATAATGCACTGTAAGTTAGGATTTAACAAGGAGAGAGGACTGGGAGAATGATGTGATCTGAGGGGAGAGAATAGGCCAAAAGGGGCTTCTATAGCCTGGGACTGGATGGAGGGGATGTCTGAGGGCTTCTATGGCTGTCTGGGTGCAGGGAAATGACCTGCTTGAACTTGTCTCTTGTCTGTGGTAACTCATCTATTATTTTTAAAGAAAAAAGCTGTACACAAGTAGAACTACTGCTGACTAAGCAACCAAAAAAGCGAAATCTAAGTACAACTCATAGAAAAAAGTATCTAGGATGAAAATGAAGTAAAACAAGCAAAATAAGGCAATTCCCCTGGTAGGGAAATTACATTCCCTACAGCACCAGCACAGTCCTTGATGACTTTGAGGACATTGGATCTCTCCTGACTGTGTGCCTGTATGAACTTCAAACAAATTAATACATTAGTGGCCACCAAGGTTGGAATTACATGTACCACAGAGCCAAATTGCTTGTAGGTTACCATCGACTCATGTAAATCTGCAGGAATCATCTTGTAAAGCTCAGTCAGAGTGCCCTTGAGCTTCCCATCCTGTGATTTCCACCATGCTGGATCATGTTGATCAGTATTGGGATTCAGAGCTGCTGGGAAAAGGCTTTGAATAATGAAAAAATGGTACAGTAGGAGGTATTTCTTTGCTTCTTGCTCAACACAAGTCATGAGGCTATTTGGCTTGCTAGGAGTGTTCCTGGACCACTTGGAATGCTGGCTATTGGCATTGAAGAGAGCCTTCCTTGTCTGGCACAGTTCCTTGCAGCATTCAGTGTATGCTTTCTGCACAACACTGAGAGCCTAGTGTCATGTCAGTACTAATGCCTAGTGACTCATCATGAACAAGAATGTATACATACTACTCACAGCTCAGCAATGTCAGCTTGAGGTCTGGGAACATGGGTAAGTCACCTGTGCTGTTCAGCATCACTGTCCAGGTCTTCCAAGTCAGTATTGTCCATCCTTTTGTCAAGGTTGAAGTCTTCAGGACCTCCATCCTTGGCATCAGAGTTGAAGGTGTCATAAGCAGTGCTGGGTGCCATATCAGTGAAGGAAATGGATGTCAAGGACCAGAGGAAATGGTAAGGCCACACACAGATGGTTGTGAACCTTTGCAAGCCTCCCTTTATTCTCCTTATTAAGGGCCACAGACATCATGAATCCTGATGGAGGTTGACACCTGTCAGTTGGGTGCTCTTAGATAGATATGGAAATTTTGAATAGTACAACAAAAAGCAATACATACATAGTAGTAGCCTCAGGGAATCCACATGGCAGACCATCAGCAGGTTGGATGTCAGTGGTTGCACATAACCAGCTATTGAGCTGGTCTGAGGACATAATAAAGCACAATTTGACAATGCCATCAGCAGTAGGTGACTACAGTATGAAATTTGCTCACCTTAGTCCCTTTTGATATGTAATCAAACATGTGTTCCAGGGATCAATGTTGATGCAGTATGAATCATGAGTGTAATATGCAATGACACAAGGAATCATGGCATTGTCACATGTCAATCAACATGACTTGAATACCTTTTGGGAGCTTTTTTCTTGCTTTCTTTCTGGTTATAATACTACACCTGTTTTATTAAATTTTTTTGTGTAATGTTACAGATGCAGTGCCATATGAGAGACCAAAGGCCAATGATAAGGAGTGTTGTAGCAGTACTTTTCATAGTCTAGTGTAGACAATTTGACACTGGTGTCACATGAACCCAGCCACAGAATACATGAGAAAAACTAGCAGAATTGAAAGCAGAATACTTTGGCACTGTAAGTGGTTTGAGATGGGTTGGGATAGGAACAATGGGGAACTGCAAACCCACCAGGATAAATATGAATCCTTCATGGGCAGCAGCAGCCACATGATGAACAGCTGCAGAACTCTGTGTCATCTCTGCTTTATACCAGAAATAATACCACACATACTCCCAAGAAGCAGGTACTCACTGTGAGGATATGACTTCATGCATGAGTGGAAGGCTAAGCAGGTTCCCCTTGGCAAATGAAGATCAAATGGTCTTGCACATTTAGCATGTTGGAATTGGTTTAGGTTGTACCACTTACTCTGGCATGTGGATGGTCTTAGTGGGAGATACAGCAGCAATGGCTTGTGCTACCTTCACAGACATCCATGCCATGCTACTCAACATGATGGAACAGGAAGATGGTGTGTGAAAAAGCATGTATAGTGGGTCAAACCATGGGCAGGATGGAATGTTGCAAAGAGGGACTGGTCAAGTACACAAAGACTTCATCTTGCTCATAATGTGTATTGTGAGTGTTGTATATGTGCATGCAAATGTGAAAAAAAGCAAGACCAGATGCTGTGTTCTGTACAAAGATCTGACATCATCAAGGAAAAAAGTCAGTGAGTAAGTGCATGATGAATTGGATACAAAGGTGAAAGCATATGCTCAGCTTCCCAACACTTGTCTGACTTGAATGCATTCCATCACAACCTTGACTGGCCAGTGATGCATCTGTTGTATCCACAGGTGCAAAGCATTGCCAATGCTTGTTCTGTTTGTTGACACCTCCTTCAGCACTCTTGCATCCTCATGGTCTCCATTTGTCCAGTACCTGTTTCAATTAGTAGCTTCTGTTCTCACATCATATGAAATTTACCTTGTGCCTCATTCACCAATTCCCCTTGCTGACAGTTGACTGTTGGTCTCTTGTGAGGCATGACTTTTGATTCCCCCTCCACTCTTGGCAACATCAACTCAAAATCTCTTCTTCCACACTCAGTGACTTCAAGTCTGCCCCTTCCCTGCCCCACCCATGTCCCCCAATGTGTTCAAAATTCCCAACAGTGCTTTGACTCCCATTGATGCACCCAAGACTGCTGAAGCAGCTACAGACATGTTCAGCAACTTGTATAGCTTGGTGGTATGTCTTCCATTCCACTTGTGTACTAGTCCATTGATATTGACTCACCACTAGAATTTTTCTCCCAACAGTTTGCCCCCCAAATGGGCTGCTCCTGCTGCAGTCACTACACCTTCCACCATAGACCCTGCTTTACTCTCCCTCAATGCTTATCCCCCTCCTGACATCCCAGCCAATGACATTCCTGTCACTGAAATGACTGGGCATGACACAGATGTCAACTTCCACTCAATTCTGACTTTCCACAACACCCTAAAAGTCATTGTCCATGTGCTGGACTGTTTCATCGCCAAACAAGTTGTGTCTGAGAAGGTCCTTGGAAAACAGAAAAGGGGGGACTAGGGAAGGGAAGAGGAACTGAAATGTGGTTTCTTCACCTTCAAGGCTTCAACAGCCTTGTAGACCTATATACATCCCTTTGCTCTGTAGTTTCAACACTTCATTGGTCAGAGCATATCTCTGTCATCATACATAAAAGGAATGAGATCATTGTCCACTCTGGCAGCCTGCTGTCCAGCATCCAGTAGATTGAGTTTTTTGTGGTGGGCATAACAATAAGTGAAACAGACTGCACAATATTCCCCCAATGTCCCTGTGTCAGTGCACCTACTACTTACCACTTTGCTCCACAGCAGGGGGGAAAAGAGTTGGGTATGCATCTGATGTGATCTGTTCCAGAGTGGCTGCTAACAGTATTAATCATGACTTACTATTTCTTGATGTCAGCTTCAATCTGTCACCCAAGTACCTTTGATCTGCTACTGAGCATGTTGCAAGTCTTCAGATTCCTTGCTAGGATGGTTGATGGCTTGCAAAGGACAAGATGGTGATGGGTCAGAACAGACATCTGCAATGCACTCAAAATTCTCTGGTTGGAAGGCCACTAGAGATGGTAAGTAACCTACATCACCTGTGTCTGTAGGAACATATCACTATCAAGCTGCTCAACAACAAAACATTTGTCATCATGTTCAGTGTCAGATGCTAGAATGGCCCCTCAGATGATCAAGCACAACAGTATGAAGATGGATGCAGCCTGCAGAACTGTCTTGACACATTTGAGCCTGAGATCACAATCAATAGTGTGGGCCAGTCTGATCCTTGTCATGAAGGGTTGTGCCAAGATAAATTCCATGTTTCCTATGTCTGGAATGACACAGGAAAACATGTAGATGAGACAAATGAAGGCAGTTTCTGTCTCAGTGTATTGAATAAGTACACAGTTGTAGCAGGGCACACCAAAAAATGACAGGTTGCAGCAGAGACAATCTGTGCACTGGTTCCAGGGGACAGTCAACTCATAGTTGACCAGCATATAATGGTATTCTTTAACCTTAGCACAAGCACAGTTTCAACTAGATGAATACATAATGAGAGTGTAGATACATACCACAAAGTCAGCAGGGAGGGAGATCCATGACTTGACTTGATATCCATATGCTGGAAGGGTGTCATTAAGGAACTCACAGAACCTTTGACAGAACTGATGGAATGCCATATCTGGCTGACCATTTTCCTCTAATTCTTTCAGGGTTTGGGTTGTGATGACATGTGCACCAAGCTTAATATGATCAAGTGAGATATGCTCACTGACCACATCAGCTTCTGGATCTGATTCCCCAGAGACAGATTTCTTGAGGTAATCAACATGCAATCTGAGAAGCTTTGTAGCAAGAACTTGATGATCTACCCACAAGACCTAACATGCATTTTAGTGAGTAGGAATGTCAGCACACACAGTTGTCATACCTGAACAGGACCAGTCTCTACCATTTGAATGGTGTTCATATGTGTCTTTGATTGGCTTATGCATACTTTTGTTGGGCCAAGTGCTATAGTTGTGTGCAGCACCCTTTAGGTGGATATCTCAAATGACATGCTTCCAAAGGTGGACTTTTGGGAAATTCCAGTCCTTTGCAGACCATCAATGTTGGACTTCATGACACATTACAACAAATTGGCATGAGCACAAAGCATATAACTACCTTCAGTGTCTGATCAGATGTCAATATCTCTGTTATGCTCCAACATAATGACTTCATCAAATGGACTAGGCATGAAGCAAAGGAGGGACACACTATGGGCTGAACTTGTTGTAACCCCTATGGATCCCTAAGTACAGTCAACTTTGACAGTTTCCTTCTGGAGGGGGCATGCCTGACACTGAGGAGACAAGAAAGAGACAAGAAAGTTGGGGATTTGCAAGGTAGCAAAAAAACTAGAGTACAGGGTATCATACTGTCTACCTATATACCCTCCAGAGAAGGGCATACAATAGACCCATAAATAGTAAACTGCTGCAGACAGTAAGCAATGAAATAAGAATGACCAAGGAAGAGTCAGCAAGGCCCAAACCATCTACACAACCAGAGTGCAGCAAGGGGGCAGTGGAGTGATGGACAGGTGAAACATAGCAGACATACTGTACAGGGATAAATGAGAAACAAGACAAGGGAAACACACAAAGTGATGATCAAGGCACAGTAATGTGCAGCCCTTCTAGCCCACCAGCCAACCTCCCCTTGAACAGATGTTCTGAGATCCAGATCCCAGCCCAGATCATGATGGAAACCAATGTGATGACCTGGAACATGATGCATGTGACAATGCAGGCATCATGTAACCATGAATGGAAAGAAGGTGGTAGGGGGCATAACAATCTTGTCATTGAGAATGTTAATCATATGTTCAGTCTGGACATCTAAGCTGACAAGGCTATCAAGCTGTAGGTAGCTTCAGATGACTCAGAGGAGCTGGTACCCTCCAGGGGTTATACTCTTCTTCAAAACATTGATCACTGTGCAGAAGATTTGCTAGGGAAACAGTTCATTGACAGCCATCCAGTATTGGACACATGCACCTTGGAGATATCAGCCAGCTTGTTACCATCTGAAAAGGTGTCATGAATAACTTGGTTGAAGTGTGTGAGGTTTTGCCAGTGAGGAAAACTTGCATCACTGTCATTGTCAAAGGTGAGAAGTGACAACATTCACAGCAATTGTTTGTCAAACAGTGACTCACTACTTCTCAACATTGGCTTCAATCTGTCACCCAAGCACCTTTACAATCACCTTTAGGTCCCCAAAGATGTGCTTGCCCCAAAAACCATGCCCATAATGCAGTTGGTCAAAGCTGCAGGTGAGGTGGAGATCAGAGAACCCAATCATCCAGAACACATTCTGCATCCCATTAAATATTAGTTCATTGATGGTGATTTGTCAGTGGAAACTTACTTCAATCAGTCATAAACCCAACCACTTTAGCAATTCATTGCCTTCAGCTTGATTTGTTGCATGAACACATAATGCATCAATGCCCTGGGCATGCATACAAGGTTCAAAAGTCCTGGAGAGATCATGGAGTAGCTCTGATGGTACAAGACATACAGGGAAAGGGCATTTGCCACTGCAACCACAAGTGAGTGCCATCTATAGAAAAAGGGTGCTGTAGGCAACCTCAGCAGTGAACAATCTACTGATATATTAGATATACCTGTAGGCAACTACAGGGAGTCAGTAAGTAGAATACTAGTAATGAATGGTGATCTTACCCTCAGTAGTGAACAATCTACCAATATATTAGATATACCTGTAGGCAACTACAGGGAGTCAGTAAGTAGAATACTGGTAATGAATGGTGATCTTACCCTCAGTAGTGAACAATCTACCAATATATTAGATATACCTGTAGGCAACTACAGGGAGTCAGTAAGTAGAATACTGGTAATGAATGGTGATCTTACCCTCAGTAGTGAACAATCTACCAATATATTAGATATACCTGTAGGCAACTACAGGGAGTCAGTAAGTAGAATACTGGTAATGAATGGTGATCTTACCCTCAGTAGTGAACAATCTACTGAGGGAACAGTGTAATGACTGTGTAGTCAGTGCGCTCTAATGGCTTATGTAAGCAGCCAAACATCGCACCAAAAGAAGTGAGAAGACAGGGGAGAATATATCTCCAACACCATCATGCATCTGTAGTAGGCCATTGAGTTAGTATTGCCAGTTTGAGCAAGAAGAAAGTATATTACATCTCTTCAAAATCAGCAGACAGTATCATAAGACTTGGAAAGAGCCAACAGGTAATGTTGTCATGTGAAGGTGTATGTGCATACCCAGTCTTCAAGTACTGCTCAATCTCCAGAAGTAACTTTCTGAAAGATTCATGCCAAATGACATGCTTGAGGGTTGTGTAACCTAGCTTTCCCTCTTCTTCAGCACCTTCAGGGACCTGAAATGTTCCTAGTCTATATGAATATCTAAACAGTGAATGCCATGCACAATAGGCAGCCAGCCAACAATGGTACCCCCACCAATGACATTGCTATTCCAAATCTCAACCAGTAAGTTTGCACAGCATACAATGACAGGGTAACTCTTGGCAGTGCCAAAAGACAATAGGTTGGATTTGTCAGCATAAAGGATCAGGCCAAATGGCATGGCATTCTTGATATCTGGTAGACTTGACTGGCACAAATACAACATGTTATGTACAGGTAATGAATGACATATCAACCAGGCACATACTTGAATATCCCACCAATAATCTCTGGTCCAGGGCTCATCATAAAAACATTCATACTCAATGCCATTGTGCCTGTAGAGTCACTGTGCATCCCAAGTGAAGTGTGGACTGAGGAATGGATTTTTTAAGATATTGAGTGCCCACTCCCACAGTGGGCAAATATGCACTTTGAACATACATTCTTCCTTTTTGTATGGTACCTTAACTTTGACCCTGGAGAACTATTTAGAAAGGTAGGATAGATGGTGACAAATGGACATTTGAAAATCTTACCAGAGTGAGTTCCATTGCAGCTGCATCACATGCTTTGCAAAGTTCAGCATCATTCTTGAGCATGACTTGGACAGCTCCCTGTGTGACATGAGCAAAGAGATCCAGCAGGGCATTGACCTGTTGCTGGTTGAGCAGTGAAGTGAGTGTGATTTCCACAGACTCAAAGTCACCCAACATGCAAAATGGGGACCAAGGTGTCTTGTCAACCAGGGATGCAGATTTCTCACTGTGAACACGGAACTCTTCATAAGACTGATAAATCAGTGGTTGATTGCTTCTTGGATGAAATTGGATCTTGAATTCAGGAAGTTTTGCCACATTAGAACTTGTGGAAGTTGGCATCAACATGTCTGAGGGAATTATGAGCACTGTGAGAATGCACATCAAAGTGAATACATACCTGAGGTGTAGAGCATGTCACTTGTCTCATTGTAATCTTGTCCCATAGTCACCTCAACTGCAGCTGCAGCTTATCTGAGACTAGGACCACAACATAAATGAAAGTCAGACTCACTGGGTTCATCAACAAAAAAATATCCTGTATCTGTACAGTGAGCTTTGAGCACTCGAGGCTGCAATTTGAGTACTGATGCTCTCACAGCTCAATGGTGGGCAGCTGAGTTAATAATTAAAGCCAGAAACCATTAGATTAAGTCTGCCTGCACTACACACCAATTCACATACCTTGTTGTTTCTCTTCATACTGACATTCAAAAGCTACATGCTCCCTCTCATCTTCTTTGCACTTCCTGCAACTTGCCTTGTGCTGCTTGAAACCAGTTTTCTGAAATTTCCTGTTGCAGCATGGGCATTGATGGAAAATGGCATGATTCTGTTCAGCATTTTGATTGGTCAAAGCCAAACAGGTGGTATGGGAGGGAGCCATGAGAGAAGTGTTGGAGATATATTCTCCCCTGTCTTCTCACTTCTTTTGGTGCGATGTTTGGCTGCTTACATAAGCCATTAGAGCGCACTTACTACACAGTCAATACACTGTTCCCTCAGTAGATTGTTCACTACTGAGGTTGCCTACAGCACCCTTTTTTGATAAGAAGATGTCTCATAGCTGACTGATAGTTGTCAGACATGCTGCATATGCTGTGTTCAGCTGATGTAAGACATAACACAGTTTAGCATATATTCTTGTCAAATAAACTTGTAGCTGATAGCAGCAACAACACTGGCACCAGCCACATCAATACACAAGTGGCACACACTACTGTCCATTGTCATCTGCATGATGTTATCTGACATGACATGTACAACAAAATGCAGGAACCCCAATGCAACCAGTCCCCCCCCTGAAAGGAAATCACATGTGATCAGACTTAACAGTCCAGTATGATCATTGAGGACAAAGAGTTTGCAGACCTGGCCTGATGGCATCCAGGAACACCATAATATCATAATATCAGTCATTATCAGATTGTTATCACTCAGTAACTCGGGTAACTCCCGTCCAATGAAACTCCTTCCCTTGGCACTGCCCCCAAGCCATTGACATATCATTACCAGACCATTTTAATGACCCTAATAAGGAAACTCGCGAGCATTGTCAGCCGGTGGCAGGTGCCTCGAAAATTTGCGACATACTCAGCGTTGTGCACTGAACGTTTGAGTGCCGGAAAAATCACCTGCGGCTTTCCCCTGGGATGGTGGGCGAGGAGGACATCTGACCTGTGCTTTGCCTATGCTACAGACAAATTATATGATTGATGAAAAGTCGCGTTCGAAGTCGACACAAGAGTGGCAGTGCCGACGGACATCGTGAGCGCTTCGCTCAGGTGGAGCGCAGTACTCAGTAGTAAAATTTACCCGGCCTCGTTAGTAGCTTGCCAGGGTGCCACTGTGGGTGAGTACACACAAGTTGTTACCTAGTCTACTACAGACTTACTTACACCCTGTAGTTGCCTACAGCCCCTTCAAGATTTCCTCTATGCCATCCCATTCAACAACTGCACACGTCGCTGGTGTGTACAAACCGAATGTACTGATTATCTGGTCAGAGAAATCGAGACTTTGGGCAGCGTGATCTCTGGAGACCCCGACAACTAGCAAGTCCTGATTGCGATAGTAGTTGTGTTGTGTTACCCTTGACAGTGTGAGTCTCTCCCGTACAGAAGCCAACTTCAGTGCAGTTTCGAAGCCCATCTGGTTTGCTTCTTCAAACCCAATTGGTTCAGCCCGCTGCGCTAGTTCGTTCAGAGCAGGCAAAAGCCATTCCCGCGATTCAATGTCGTATTTCCGGCCTAGCACAAGTTTGTCGATGGCGCTGACGTCCAAAACCATCAGGGCATCGATAGCTGCCGCGCGTATTTCCTGGAAGCCCCATGCTGTCGACAACTTGAGGACAGACGTCCACTGCTCGATGGTGTCTGGCAAGCAAGGCGGCCGGCCATGTCGTCTGCAAAAGAGGATGCCTTGTTACACTTCAGACTTATCATTCGCGGGACGTCGCTTACTGACCTGTTGAACAGCACTTTCAACAGCTCCTCGAATTCCTCCTTGCTGACTCCAAACAGTCGGATGGGCATTTCATCGCTCAGCCCTTCGATGCTATTGCCGTCGCCTTGAGGCAAAGCAAACATGTCACAGAAGACCGTCGACTCTCGTTCAAATGGTTCCTTAGGGACTTTGAATAGACAATTTTCCACCTACAAACTCGCGATGAGAACAGTGCTTGGTTAGATAGCTAGCAAAGCCCACGAGGAAAGTGATTGAAGCTCATGTAGAAACACGTATGTCTCTGAACTTCAGTGCTGCTTTCCATCGTCGCTGGGGAAACGTCGCCGAAGTAAGCAGTACAGATGTGATTATCGATGAATGGCAGCCACTAATATCATTGGAAATATCACGCCGTTTTGGGCTTCATGCAGTGCTGCTGCAATGGGTTATTGATTGGTAGCGTGTTCTGACGGCTTTGGTTTGCTATATTGGAGGGCGAGTACTTTCACTACATTAGTGGTGCTCAAGGTGGCTTTGGAAGTGCTCTGGAATCGCACTCTGGCTGACTGTTGCTGCTATAAAATTTGACTCCGACATGCCAGGCCCTGTAGCACTGCTTGACTAGCAATACATGGTAGTTACTTATCCTGGAAGATACATGTCAAATAACATATTGAACTCATTGATTGTAGGGAGTACTGAACCAGGTTTTGGAGTAAAACTATCATCGGAAGGAAAGGTGATCATGCCAACCCAAACGTGTTTAGTGTTCCTTGATAGCATCCTGGAGCGCTACACCGAACCACACCCACAGCTCATACTTCCGATTTTTTGACCGTAATGGTCGTGGACATCTTGTTATCAGTGCCCGGCGGACTTCCAACGGTGGGTGAACAACGAGCGCTCATCCTTCGAACCCTTCATCAAGGAAGACTCCCGTAGCACCACGGTTTCCAAACGAGTTCGATGCGTTCTGCCCGTGAAATGACTGCAAAGCCATCTTTTTGTGATGTGAGAAGTGCCTTCAGAGCAGTGTTCGGAGGAACGTCCTTCAGTTCCAGCATACAACGACCACGAACGTATTTGTACAGAGAAGCCAGCCAAAGACCGTCAGATGCACCTTTAGGCATACGAAATTCAAAGAATGTCACATGTAATGAAGGGCGCTGCCCAGGCTTTCGTTTGCAAAGCCAAAGTACGAGGCCTTGAGGCATTGTTCCTGCTTGCAGACCTTTAAAAGTCAGCACTTCAAGACGTGGCCGATAGTCAGCAGAAGTATCCTTGTTAAAAAAACGCAAGGAGTTCACCGGCGGGCAGTTCTACATGTCGAACACTAGGAAAAGCCAAGCAAACAGCCTTAGTGTCGACTACTCGTGTCGTTGGAGAGGGGGACCTGTCATTTACACCCTAAAGGCAAAGACATCGAACATTTGTAAACGGCCTGGAAGCGTCCACAACGTGTGCCCAGCTACGGGAGTCTGGGAAGGAACATTTGAGGTGATCAAGGTTGGGAACTACCATAGCCGCCAATGCTGGTGCCGGCTCAAGGAGTGTGGGTGTCAGAGATGCAAGAATGGGAAAGTCAACACTTTCGGGTTTGGGCCACTCCTGACCGGATCCGGAGAGGACGAGTTCCCTCAACCACTGAAATAGAAGCAAGGATGACAATAGTTGTGACACCCATATGCACCCGGTTAAGTGAAAATAGAAGCTCTGAGGTTGGTGGCAACCGTAACTTGGTTTGTTCTGTTACCTTCCAGGAGTGCCAGACGTTCGAGAGTAGGAGTATACTTGGAAGTGAGAAATGGCGGATATTGAGAGACTGTTTTCCCAGAGATTTCCGCGCGTTTCAGAGCAGGAAACCTCATGGACTACAAGATATCGATAACACGAATGTCGCATTTTTCATCATTCTCCCAAATAGTGAGGTTGCGCCACTGAGACCCACAAGTGAGAACGAGGCCAAGGAAGTTTTGAATAAACTGAAGCTATCAACAGAAGACCAAATGCTTTTGATAATATCGAGAGGGAAATCTCTGCTTCTACCAACATAAGCCATGACGAGAGAAGTCGACCAAAAAGGGTGTACCACGACGGTTGTTCCAGAGATTGGCGAAGGTCAGGATGGTATCTCTCCAGCGACGAAATACGCTGGCTAACTGCCTCTTGGTACAACGATGCGCGGATTGGGTTCGGGACCGGTATCGCAAATAACGCGATATATGATATCAAAAAATGGCGTGGACGGAAGACGGATAATGGGTGGTAGGAGCCTCTGCTGCTTGAAGGGACCGTTGAGCCTTATTCCCCTGCGCCTGGTCAGTGGCGCACACCCTGCCAAGTTCTTCTAGTAGCTCCTGCTCGCGTTCGTTTAACCGTACCAGTTCAGCTCGCGCTGCCGCGAGTTCGCTCATTGCAACGCCGTTCGAATTGCTGTGGAAGGATATTCATAGCACATACATATTCAGCGTCGTGCACTGGATATTTGGGTGCTGGAAAAGTCACTTGCAGCTCTTCGATGGGCAAGAAAGATATCTGGACTCCGCTACAGAATTGCGCCAACGAGTCGCTGATGAACGTTTAGTCGCGTTTCCAGTTCAAGTAGACCCGAGAGTGCTGGCAGTGAACGCCAATGCAAGGACACTCGACTTGTAACGGCGGCACCGCACCAAAGGATCTTTTTCTGGGCTGCTCAGTTTCCAGACTAAGAGGTCTGTATTGTTCGAGGTAGGAAAAGGAATTGCCGTGCCCTACCATACATAGGCCCTTTATACTGTAGAGGACGGGGTCGGATGACAGCGTCAGCATTCGGGATAAACAGGATCAAAATCGATGAGAGAAGTAAGTGGAGCTGTCACAGTCTCAGAGGCTGGTTGGAGACAGAGGCCCGTCGGTGCCGGGCCGAATCCTTACACAGTGCTGACGCTTCGGTCCGAGTTTTGCCACTTACAACCCGGAGTTTTGACAGAGGCCCACCAATCCGAACAGTCTAGAGCATCTGTGACTACGATGGCGACCGTGAAGCTTGCAACGCTGGCCATTCGGGTAAGTTTTGAACTGGACAAAGAGTTAACCAGTACACACCAGTCCCCCCACGCAGACGATCGCGAAACCTATATCCTCGCAGCTCAAAAACCAGGCGAAACAGTGAGTAACAAACTCGTTTATCTTACTAGTCGTAGTCTAATCATCTACCGTCATGTCATCACCTACGTGTCCAGACATCCGGCATTTCGGAACCTGTGTGTTTCGTTGGCACAGGGAATGCATACTGCTGAAGTGTCCCTCCGTACGAACATCCTTGGTGAACCTGCACGAGCACATGTTCGTCCACTATCCGAAGCCCGGTTCGTCTCACTAGTTTTTACCTTGACTTGTTTACGGACATGACCATCTCATATTGCTCGTGCAACTCTGTACGTCCAGTGCAATCGAAACCGGTGCAAATGCACTTGCAGAAGGTTTCCTCTTCGCCGTAGCCGCAGCACTCATCGTTGGAGAATCATTTCGCACTTCTCGAGCACAATCCAGACGACGAGACGACGTGGACGATCCGGCTCGACGAACTCGCCACCTCCGTCTCTTCGTTACGCGATGCAGTGGGAACAGCTCAGGCAGTCCCAGAAGGAGCTCGAGGGGGAACGGGAACGGAACGACGAGCTGCAGAGGATCATGGAACGCGTCGTCGAGATTGGGCTGAGAGGGTGGTTGGGTTGAGTTTGAGGACACACCATTCAAGGTACCGAGAGTCAACCTCACTCCGCAGCCCGCCCGATCGGAAAGCACGAACGTGCCCGCTGTCGGGTCAACACCGTTTTCCTCTTCAGATGTGAACTCTGCCTCGTCGCCAGGGGCGGGTCCCTCGTGATACCAATATCGTAGGTCCATACCATGGTTATCATTCATCTATCTAGACGGTACACCATTATATCCATGAGCCCAGCTCTAATGCTACAGGGGAATCTGTGTGAACCGTCCGTCCCGAAGACATTAGCATAATACAATAGCGCACGCCTCCCCTCATCGACCATGCACGCATGCGTTATCAGCTGTAGGATCCCTACATGACAATGCATGATTCGGGACACGGGTTCAGATCACCACCACAAAGTTTCTCCATCCATCCAACCAACCTCGAACATGCACCTGCGCCATGAGGGTACTTGATCGCACCATCCTGTCCTCCTCACTTCTATCCACACCTCTTTCTGTGCCCCCGGTGTCGTTGGAACGGCGTGGAACCAGCGTAGCATCTGCGTGCGTTCACACAGCTCGACACGGCCTTCGGACATCTTCACAGTCACATCATACGCCTCGTTCACAATACGTATCTCGGAGGGAGACACCAGATCCGATGACGACGGGGACAATGGGAGGGTCGCCGTGGATGCCGTATACGCGTTGGGCGTTGCTGTCCCCGTCGTCACACATCCAATCCCATGCATATCGGGATCGACATCTCCATCGGGTAAGGTCTGTTCCCGGATCACAAGTGAGCGTGACACGCAGGTCTCCGAGGCGAAATGGACGAGTGGGAGGAAAATCTCAGTCGGGAGTGGACTCGGCTTCTCTTCAAATGTCTTTTCGCTCTCTAGGAAATAAACGGAGGTCGTCCCGCTACCCTTCATTTTCTTGCTATCCTCCTCGGCACCTCCTATGTCCTCGACTTCCTCGCCATCACCCAACTGCTCATATACACGCGGCATATCCACCGCTCTAACACTCACCACGATCTTTACCGTCGCTTTACCAATATCAAACTCGATATTGGCTGGTACCCCGACAGTGCTGATGGGCCACGGCCTACAGAAGGCCCTCACTGCACGTGCACCGTCCCTCAAGAACGCAAGACGCACGTGTGCCGGTTCAGAAACCGATGTGTAAGGCAGCAATGGGGAAACGTAGCGTGGCAAGAGTCGCGCTCGATACGTGAGCAGGGATCATCAGACCCACCCCTCCATTCATGGTCATGCCCATGCTGGTCGTAGACTCGGTGCGACGTTTCAGGTCATCACTGGACCACAGACTCAAATCTTCCATATTCCATCCGTCACCCCACTGATGCGTGCTATCCGTGCAGTAGGTCCACACGGTGTAATTGAGCGCATTCACACCGTCGGCAGCGGATAGGCTCGCGTCCAGCGCGCGTTCTTGAGAGCGGTAGTCGCCGTATCTAGGATTTGAGGGTTCATACGATGCTCTACCGTCCATATCGAATGGCGTGCCGATCTCGCCGATGATGGTTGGATATCGCGTTCGCACCGCGGGCGAAGGCGAACGCGGCGCCTGGCGAAGAAACTGCCGAAAGAGGGGGCGTGCCCAACTGCACGGCGTCCTCTTTGAGCACGCCAAGCTGGTTCCTGATACAAGCCCGTATCGCCTTTTCGCCGACTCGAACTGCGAAGAGAGGATTAGAGTATTTTCCACGGATCATTCCCAGAGCGTCGGCGTTATACCAACTCCAGTGACGAGAGAGAAGGGTCAGGCCGTCGTAGTAATGAGGGGCAGCGCATGCACGTCCCTGGAGAAGCGTTTCGGGGACTTCCGGTGGAACAGCGAATACGGGGGCTTGCACAAACGCGATTGCATTTGGGTGTGCAGCGCGGATGGCAGAGAAGTAAGAAGTGATTTGTGGAAGGAAGAAATCTTGAAGGAAATCGACTTCGACACGCGGTTGTGGCTCTGCAGAACAGGAAGTGGCCAAGCTAGACCAGGGGAGATGGCGGAAGTAATCGGGCTGGAGAATATAACCGGTCTCAACATCCCATACGCCGTGTAACGCCCACACGCAAATACCAAGCCTCCACTGGGGGTCCCGATGCCACTTCCACTGCGGGTGTACGCCTCCCGGTTCGTCCGCGGGGTCTGCCCATATACTAACACCGTTAGGGTCGATGGTGACAGTACCATCACGTCTGGGGCCAAACGCGCCAAATGTATAATTGTCAACTGTTTGCGCCTGACCCATACCAAGGCGGAACGATTGAGCTGGAGTAGGTACGCTTCCCTTCTTGAGTGTGGAGCCTTGGACCGTAGGGTATACGTTTAGGTCGGGGTAGGCGATGAAACCTTCGGCAGGTTCGTTCATGCCGTCCCATCCGATGACGACCTCATCTAGCAGCCCACCTGCGTCGCGTATGCGCTCAGCAAGGATAGCGAATGCGCGTGTAAAGTGGGACTGGAGGTAGTCCTGAATGTTGACGCCATCGATAATACATTTGGGTGCAAAGGTCCGGCCGCCGAAGAAGAGAGCGAAGAGGGTTTGTGAAGCTAGCCTGCCGTAGTTTGTCGACCAGATCATGGGGGGGAGAGATGCAGGGTCGCGCAAATCTGGTAGAGGTGATGGGTATTCGCAATGTAGGATGGCTGCTTGGGTCGCTGTAAATGCGCGAGGATTTATACCACACGCTGGGAGTGTCCAATATGGTGCACCAGACCCTCCTGAGAAGCGCGACCACTAAGTGGGGGAACGTCGGTGCCGTGTGGGAGAGGAGAGAGAAAATCACAAACGTACCGCGTCTTGGTGAGGGTCCACGTAAACTTTGAACCCGTACTCCTTGCACTTTCGCAGTACTCGAATGGTATAGTCCATAAATTCATAGTCATACTTTCCACTGTGGGTGGTGGTGTTAGTGGCATCGTCACGAGGAAGAGAGAGAGAAACGTTTGCTCACGGTCCCTCGTGTTCGAGTGCCTCCCAAGTAATTGGGTATCTGAGCATGTTGAATCCCCATCCTCTGAGTCGTCTGAGGTGCTCGTCCGCTGAACCGTCGTCGAGATTGAGGGGTTGACCGACAAAACTTTCGCTGCCAGCTTCGCCCGCCTCCCAAAAGTCTTTCAGTGCATACGAAGGGTGACCGACGGGTGCTTTCGACGATCCTGACAGGTTTACACCTCGAAGAAGGAGCGTTCTGCCTGAGCCGTCGACGAAGTTACCGTCGAGGGTGTGAACGAGGCAGTCTGGCACGGGTTGGCCCGTCTGTGTGCATGTCAATGGTACTTGGGGCATTCTCAAGCCTTAATAGCCTGTTTGTAGTCGCTAGTCGTCTGCCGTTGTTGGTGAACAAGAGGTGTGGAGTTCGCGGTGACGCTTCCAACGTTTCCACCATTAATATTGGTCCCGTAATCGTACGACTCTTTGTTGGCATGTCTAAATGGGGCTTAGTGACCCCTGTGTTCAGCCCCCCCGCCACAGTGATTCTTTACGAGCGAGTTCAACACATCCGCCGGTCGAGGATCATGCGCAGCCCTACTGAAATGGCACATCGATCGCTTTTGTGTACCAACGTGCGCGACTGCTTGCAGTTTTCGTAGATCGACATCAGTCGTTTCGTCAAAACGGCAACTTCTGCTAGGCAAAATTTAACACCAACTGGAGCCCGTGGCTACCCTGGGCGGTGATTCACTCCGGTGCGGCATGCGCAGTATCTCAGAAAAATGAAATAGCTTACGACTATGCAAGGCTTTCTGGTGAATTCTATGACAACAGGTTCCTAGCGAACGAGCTTGGGGACTTAGTGGTGGTTGCGAACGAAGCAATATTTCCGAGAAAAATAACAAAGTCATTTTTTGTCCTCTTACGAGCAGCCACGACGATGCATTGGTGGCTCCACTAAAACTGATGTCAATCTACAAGATGCAGGTCGCAAGGCATTCCCCATTACGAATGTATTTCCCCTCCAGCTGGCGGCCGCAACTGAGACAACTGCTGAGTGTTTCATGTGCTGTCCCATTTCTCACCACCACACGTCATTCTCTGTTACGTACAAGTGGCATCCACTCACTCGTTTTCGACATATTACAGCTTTAACTGATTAACCGCACCCAATGCAAATCATCAGATATGTTGCAGGGGTGCATATGATAGTATGTAAATACTGTTCTACCTCTTCTGAATTGTCTTGAGCAGCCAGCCACTGAAAATCCGCTACCACCGTGCTCCAGCAAGTCGTCCCTGTCCTAAGTACAAACAACCACAGGTTCTTGTGGCAATAGTAGGGCTTTGATAGGTTCCAACCACGTATGTAACATGCAACGCCGACGAGGGCCGCGGCCAACCAGTACCCTTGGCGGCGATTGTCACAAATACGGGATGCTGGACTCGGGAGTTCGCGCAGATTCTTCTGAGCCTACAGGACGCACCATGCGAGGAAACTAATAGGGAGGGGCTGCGACGCATTGGAACCTTGCGCCACAGGAGAATTCTAATCCTCTAGTATCGTCTATTATGTAATCGTGACATTACTAAGTCAATAACCCCCGTTGTCCCAAGTACTGGCCCAGAAGACCCCATGATCTTTGTCACATCAATATTGGCCGGTCCTTGAGCTTGAGTCTTCCCTTCTTTGATATCAGTGATGCCCTGGATGGGCGGCCAACCCCACTTGTCCCCCCTGTATATTACCTATTGTCTCCATCTTCTTTTCCCTCGTTCCGCTGGATAAAGGGCTGACATTTACGCCCGTCTTTTTGCGATCCCCAGATTCACCCCGCAGTCACATCTGAGGGTAACACGTGCCCCACACCTCCAGAGACCCGCCCGCTACTTGCACTTTGGTTTCATCCACTATTTCAATGCCAGTCGCATACCTTTCCCCCCCTCTCGAGACGTGGTGGGAATGTCTGTCTTACGTATCCAAAAGGGATCTACAACAGCTCCGCCTCGTCTGTAGATTCTTCGCTCGAATCTGCTTCAACCCGTTGTTTGAGACGCTCTCTTGGTCGGTCCCCAATCCAGATTTCCAGTGGGGGCCTCCGGTCGAATTAGAAGATGCACTCAGGGTCCTACGCTCTTTCATCACCGACGACTCTGCATCCGATGTCCACCGCACTGTGCGTCGACTCAACTTTAGGGGCATCGAACGCGGATATCGCACTTGTCTGCGCAGTCCACGCATCAGTGCGACGTATAGCTCTTACCTCGCGCTATTCCGTCAAGCACTTGGTATGTTCACTGCCCTCTGCGCCCTTAATTTAAATGCAGTCACCATCGACGGTAGGATGGCTATGTGTCTACAGAATCTTTCCTTCCTGTGTACGTTGGAACTTAGCGACTGCGAGATAACCTCTACCGTCCCTGTTCAGTTGCCCCTGCGCAATTTCATGGTAGTAAGTGCTTGGGATTACCAAGACGCGAAAGTGACTAGGGACGCACTATGTTTGGTTGCTCCCGAACATTTGGAATGGGCAGTCATTGCAGATGACCGATGGACGTCTGCCCTATTTGCTGCATGGGGAACCGTGCTGATGTCGTTCCTCACGCGCCTGACAATACGCGTCAGACGTGATCAGTCGGTTCGGTTCCTGGGTTTCCTGCGTCAGTGTCCACGGCTGGACTCACTTTTCCTCGCCCCTGATTCGACGCTCGACTATCCCGAAGGCACTTTCTCACCGACCACGATCCCCAACCTGAGAGTATACGAGGGTCCTCTGCACCTTGCACACGCGTTCATTACGGATCGAAACGTCACCTCTGCACGACTCGACGCTGTATGCGTCGACGATCGAAGTGGTAGTCTTACACCTATGGAGACAAAATCTGTTGTCGCTGCACTCGAAATGACGTTGCCGGCCGCATCACAGGTTCGGACACTCAGATTATGCGAAGTGTGCCCCGATCTTGCTTTGTTGCGGCTCGTTACAAGCTACGTGCGAGAGCTCAGGACGTTGGAACTACGTCTAACCAGCGATGCCGGGGGTACAAACTTGCAGCCTGAAGAGGCGTCCGAATTAGCTTCCCAGTCTGCTACATCCATATCGGTTCGTATCTACGATCATCTCCACGTGTCTGTCGATGCTAACTTTTGTGAATAGGCTTCTGACCTAGAAGGCGTTTTGCGTGTCGCAGAACATGCCGGTATAGCGGTGGACCGTTTGACGGGGTTCCCAACCGAGAAGTATCCGCCAGTGGAGGTCAGCACCTGCCCACCTTACTCTAGTCTAACTAGCTAATTCCTGACCTCCATGGGCGCTTCTTGTTTTACCTCCTGTGTTATGACGGGTGGGTTTGGTAACATTCTAGACCGTGCTGGTCTGGATGGCCCTCGGGCACATCGTTCTTCCGCCCTTCCTCGAAGAATTAGACATCCAGCTTTCAGATCACTTTCCTCCGACGAAAAGTCTAGTCGCTTCGAAGTTTCCCTTCGTCGGTGCATGCAATGACGAGTTGGATGTCTCGAAATTGCTATATAGTTTGTCGAGTCGGTTCTCCCAACTACGGAGATGTATAGTAGGTGTGCGGGTTTGGGCGCGTATTGTTGGAGATGAGGCTAGGGCGGTTGATTGGGCAGAAGTATGATGAGTGTTGCGTGCTGAGGGAGCCTGAATTTGGAGCATCGGTGGTAAGAAATAAACCTGCGCGAGGGGATGTGCTGCGCTGACAATGAGGGTTCTATCAGGACTAGCACTTCTGAGATGCCCCCGCAACCCTGCAGAGAGCGAAGGGTGGCCGGTGACCCCGGCCCGCAGCTACGATTGTTACCGTCCGCTCACCGGTTTGATCACACAGGGGACCGGTTAAATAGTACACACGTAGGTATGCATCGGCGGAACAGGGCCGCCACAGATTGGCGAAAGGTTGCGTGAAGAGTATTATACGAGCGACACGTATTGTGATCGCACATAGTGGAAGATCGTTTATCTCCCTGTTTCCGATCACAGGAGAAACTGGTACAGCCTTGTGCTTACCAACGTGGGTTGCAATGTTTACAGCATTGAAGACATGAATTCTCCGGAAATCAAGTCTTGATTGGATGTACAGCAAGTGAAAAAAGGTCTAATGCGTGGACAGTTTAATTCAACACGGTGGGCAAACCAGCCAACTTCATTCTGACACCGATTTCGAATAGGTAGTCAAGGCACTATAGTAACGTGTCAAACGCATATCAGATACAGTCACATCAAGAAAGGGCACCGAACCTCGGTCTGAGTTTTGGCCTTTTGCCAATCATCACCTGAAGGGCGTATTCATAAGTACCGTTTTTATCCACAGCATTGCATCCACAGAGCGGCAGAGGGATAGCTGGACGTACCCCATACGTAGATACCGTGCCTTCTCACAAGGATGGCTGCCGCTTCAGGATGTCTCTCCATCGCTTCTGCCATGCTGTCCTTGAGATCCTCCTCGTTTGGGGTATTCTCGATGATGGGAACTCTAAGAGTATCGAGGTAGGATAATGCAGGTCCGTTGCCACCTCTGCGGACGCCTTTGATCATCTGTAGAGATGCATATATATCACACAGTCATATTATTAGTGATTTTTTACGTACCTCCTATTCGCCCAATACATTCCGCAGTGAGCGAGAATTGGCAATCAGATACATGTGTGTAGATACACACCTGGTGTGAAATCTCGAACATACCACCAGGCCACAGCAACGTCGCCATGACCGCATTCTGGGAATGGGTATGGATGCAACTGCCTGCGTTTCGTTGCTCGAAAGCATTCCAAAAGAGGGGGGTACAGGCAGATTCTTTGAGATTGAGCGTTGGACGGCGGAGGAAGATGCGGTCCGTTGTGGGTTGCGGGTAAGGAAGGACGAACATGTGAGATGGTTCGATGCGTTCTTTTTGAACGCCTGAGGGAGCAATGTAGACTTTGTCGCTGTGATAATCCATGAGTATGGGGCTCGACAGCAGGTAATATACGGTACCCCGTGCGGATGCAGATTCCGCCACCCGTTCCAGTGACCCATCCTAGTTTATAAAATGCAGCGCATAGCTCGGGGATGAGGTTTGCAGGCTAGTCGATATTACAATCACGGTACTAAGTATCTTATCTCCGAGTTTACTTTGTACTTACGTGTGAAGGATCGGGAGAGAGGACGAGTGCATCAGGATCGTTGATTTGGGGGGCGCTGGACATCGTTGGCCGAGGAGTATCTTGGTGAAGGAGCGAGCGAGTCTGACCTTTAGGCTTTGAGCTGGGATTATTAGAAACTCAGCTTATCAGAAAGCCAGTCCCGTGCTTGTGTCGCGTCGTCCTCGAGCACCATCCCAACAACTCCGTAAGTATTATTTGCATGGAGTATCTACGAGTATCTACGAGTATCTACTCATCCGTAAGGGTCACATTACAGCCAGGCCGCCAGGGCCGAGCTGAAAGAACGTCTTCAGGCTACTCCAACAACTTGACCGGTCCCGAGGGTTCAGGAAAGACGTAGGACACCGAAAATGCATAATCATGCCTGACGTTCCAGGGCATGGCTTTCTGTTATGCATCAGCTCAGAACCACCGCCGCTACCTGGTTCAGCACAAAGTAATGGCTCAATCCCTACAGCCGGCCGCACGCGTCCCTCCCTCACGAGAAAGGTCAGCAGTAGACTTCTCGGTTTGCCAGGTCTTGACATTCATGTCTACAATGTTTCATCCGACAGTCCATAATGTTGGTCACCACGTACTTCTCGGGATTACATGCAAGACACAGGACTGCTTTTCGGACGTTGTATTTCAGAATCTCTTGCCTGAAGATCTCGAACCATTATAGTATATTCGAATTAGTGTCATTGCCGGGGGAACGCTGCTCTTCGGTCGATGCGAAATTCCGTTCTTTTGGACGTCAGCATCAAGGATCAGGTGTAGCTCTCGGGGCTCGCGGCCATCAGAGACACCCATCAACTGCAGGTTTTACATCATTGAGCGCCTTGTCTCAACGGTAAGTTTAGGAAAGAATTTACCTGGTATTCAACGCACAGACACCCACCGGACAAGCCGTTCACAGAGTCCTCTCGAGGTGAATCCCCCATGGACTTTGCTTTGTCTTGTCAGCTACCATCGTTCCTCGGTGAAACACCATGGGGTGTCTCTCCGCATTTTCCCAACCCCGCAGCCCGTCGACGGCCATCGGGGTCCATTCCCCAGCATGGTACTGTCACACGAGCATACAGTATGTATTGCCTCTGTCTATCCAAATTCCATTACATCAGTGTCACCTGCAGAACTCTCCGTCGGATCAGCTAGTTTTTTAGAGCCAGGCCAGTAATCCTTGTTAGCATATAACACCAGAACAAAATTGCAGGCTAGATGGCCACAATTAGCTGTTTATGGGAATGTACATACTCATTCTGACATTGTTTCAAGTTCTCCCTGTGCTTCACTGTTCGTGGGTACCAATGCAAACCAGATGTCACCACAATGGCACATGAGTCCATCATAACAGTGTGTGCCAACAACTTGCCATCTGGATTTTGCACCTGGCATCAGTAAACCACTTTGTGTGCTGGCAGTCCTAGGGAATCTGTCCAGTGCTGGACAGCTCTGGACAGCTCTGGCCAGCAAAAGTGATTTACTGATGGGAGGACTAGCTTTGAATGATGCAACTCAAGTGAGTCACCTGCTGACTTGCTATCATTTTCATTGGGCTGATGGTTGGCAGAGTCACCAGTACCTTGCAGTTCACTGGCCTGAGAAGAGTTCTTGGAGTAGCATGACCGATAAGTCAATGTGCTGTTTTGAAGGCTAGTATGGATATAGGTCAGGAGAGAGTGTGAGAGCATCAGTAGACCACTTTGTGAGCTGGTAGTCCTAGAGAATCTGTCCAGTGCTGGACAGCTCTGGACAGCTCTGGCCAGCAAAAGTGATTTACTGATGGAAGGCATGTGCTCTAGGCCTCAATTGGCCAAACAAGAAGATTGCAGAAATGAAGGTGCAAGATATGTAGCTAACAGCACAGGGATTCAGTGGAGGTATTCCCCACTGGGACTGCCCTATGCTGAGTATGCATCAGCTCCTTGGCAATCATCTGCCCCTAGTACTAGGTGATCCTCAGTTTGGCCTTGGCTATCAGAAAAATTCATTTAAGATGAGACATGGTGATGATGACATGTGAGGCATGAGATTAGGTTGGCTTGACATCATAACCCATTTAATGACCTTGATCTGGAAGGTTTGTGTTTCTCATGGCCAGGAAACAGTGGATAAATCACATGATTGTGAACACCACTAATGTACAAAGAATGCAGTAGTCTGGCTTTCCATACTGTCTACATCAGTACAAGTCATCTCCACCATCTTCACCACCAAATTCTCCCTCCTGATACCCCCCAAGTACACCATCACCTTCAGTGTGAAAGCTTGGGAAGACAGCTGTCAAGTCTTCAATGTACCAATACCCCAAATCTCTTCTGTTCCCACCCTCTCCCATAACTATGCCATCTGAATTCATTTTTTCTATTCTCCTCAACTGCACCCATGTTCCATAAATCCCCATCCCCTCCTTCAACAATCCCACATTTTCCAAATCAACAAGGACATTTATCACGTCAGTGTATGGATCATGTGCATGGATATGGTGACATTGGGCCAGAGGCAGTTTTGTCCCTTTTGAGGCCACTCTGGCCCCATCTCCAGACTCCATCCCAATGGATGAATGCACATCACAAACTGTGCACCCCACAGTCGGCCTCCCGATCTCAGATGTATCCTCTACCTCGTCCTCCGAGGATACCCAAGGTTCCAGAATGATCATCGCAAACCCGGTCTCAAGGGCTTCCTCCAGACCGTACCTTGCCGCATTTTCTCCTTCCTTCTGCACTGCTGCCAATGCCGACTCCACAGGCTCCAATGACTGCGAACCAGGCATCACCACCTCTCGGATCCTCCTGGTTCCTGTCTCGATAATAGTGGTGATATACGCAAGAGGGAGTGCTGTTGGTCCTAGGATCTGGAAGAGCGTCGGAGAGGGGGGGTCCATCCATGAGTCATCATCTTTGGTGGTGGTGTCCACAGAGTCCACTCTGATTGTTTCATCGGTTTCTGGCGATGGCGAGTCACCCGCCCCCGATGTTACAGTCATACTCACTCCAGTGCACTTCCTGCCCCAAAGTCCCACAAATCCACTCTCCACCTTACCCGGAACTGCTCTCCCAAGCCTTGCTGTGATTGGCAACTCCACTACTGCCTTCTCTGCGATTCTAATTGCATTCTCCACCTCCTGTCCCATCCTCTCTTCCGAATCCCAGAATACGCCCGTACGTTTCAAAAACTTGAAGAAGAATCTCAGGAGCATAGGTGCAACGAAGAGATTGGATTCAGTCCATATGAGACCCGTTTCACGGAGATACGAGCTGAGGAAGATTTTGGTGCCTTTAGAGATGGAAGTTATGAATGCATCAAGGCGAACACGTTCTGTGCTGGTGGGGTCATCAAAATTGAGGAGGGTGGATTTACCAGGCTGGAAGCCTTGCTCAAGGGTGTCTTGAACGGTCGATGTCAGTGCATACGTTGCATCTGACATGCTTACTTGAGAGGGCGTATGGGTTTGGTGAGCTTTTGGAATTTCCCCTTCGACCTCTTCTGCATCATCTCGATCATATGGAATGGTCGGATTGCCTTTTTGTGCTTTGGCCCTGCAATACACAGGCATGCTGGAGAGTAAACCAATGTAGAGTCTGAACTGTGCAGATGTGAGGATGCCACATATTCGAGAGGAAACCATGGAGTGGGCAGACGTACACGATCCCAGATTGGTCTAACACCCTGAGCAGGCCATGTCCGACCCAGCCTAAAATCCTCTGCGGCGAGATGAATTCGATCGCGATAGCTCATCCTGCAAACCATGGGATCATACTCTCCATCAGGAGACAGCAGAAGCACTTACCCTCCCACCAGATCAAAACTAAGTCCTCTTTGTTCTTCCCCCATCTCCCACTCCTCCCACCATGGTACAACTCTCCCGCTCTCATCCGCACATCGACCTGCACATCGTCTCCTTCTTTTTCTCCTTTTTCTTCTTTATCGCTTCTTCCTCAGTGTCAATTTTAAGCGTTGGTAGCTGTGCAAACGCATCTACTTCAATCGTGTCTCCGTTGGGTGCTGAGACATGCGCATATCCTTGTGGTGAAAACTGGGAAAAAGGAAGAATGGAGGCGTTGAGTGGGGGAAATGGAAATGGTGGAAACTGGCATCGGAGGGCACTCATCGTCCTTCGCGACCAGCCGGCAACGCGTTGAATGAATGATCAGTTGAGGAGCTATTGTCCAAGAGTAATGCAAGGTTAAATATGTAAAACAGCCGTTATGTATATAGAATGTGGGCATACTGACCTAAAACTTACGGAAAACGTATACAAACCTGGGGCACGATTTTCTCTACTCTCGGCTCAGCAATAACTCATGACGCGTTTCATCATTCTTACCAACTGTCAACTGATATCTTGTAGATCACTGTAGGTTCCGAACACACTCGTTAGGTCCCACCGCGATAAGATTCTGACTGCAATGTATGTATGCACACTTACAACAGTTCAAAGCGAAGGCAAAAGAGAATGTCTTGTCTATTCCCGTGCCACGCTGGTGAGTCCAGAATGAGCAACCAGATGACGTGATGATGAAGCGTGGGCTCTAGTACCCCTAGTTCACCGTAACATTCGCATTATCTATGCACCTATTTTATGGTTTACCCAGGTTGAAGAGTAGCCGAACGGACAGATCTATAGTTATAAAGTGGTAGTAAGCAACGTCAGACAACACGCATTGTTCACGGCTTAAGCAGCGTAAGTATGTCGGCGCAGCCGTCGTGGAATCGGCGAGACACGGATGAGACAGAGTGGCGAGGAAGTTGGAACGAGCTCCCACGGCGAGACCCCAGCTTAGGGTTAGGGTCAGTCTCTATCAGCTTCCCTGAGTCCTACACCGTCTCCATCCCAACCGCCCTCCCAGCGACCCCTGCACCACCCCCTCATTGACTAGGACACTATCCGGACGATGTCCCCACCTGCGCAGGCGCCGTATGTCCAGCCAGGAGAACCTCTCAATGAATTCCTTCGCTCGTTCTGGCAACGGCAGGTCGACGCTGCTGAGCAAGAAACCCCGGATTATAGGCATCCGCCGTTGCCGTTGGCACGCATCAAAAAGGTCATGAAGAGCGATCCAGATGTCAAGGTGGTCCCACCTTTCCTTTCCCTTCCTAGTTGCTCGTGTTGTCGTCTCCTTTACCACCTACGGGGAACGTATATGTGTGCTGATACGTTGCGAAATAGATGATCGCAGCAGACGCACCCATCCTCTTCTGCAAAGCATGCGAAAGTGCGTCTCCTTTCGTTTCTCATCTCCGCCAAACCTTGCTTTCTCCAAACCCACCACTAACACCACCACCCACCATAGTCTTTATTTCCGAAATTACAGCGCGGGCATTCATCATCGCAGACTCCAACAAACGGCGAACACTCTCACGATCCGACATCGCAAAGGCCCTCTCGAAATCGGACCAGTTTGATTTTTTGATCGATATCGTCCCCAGGGAGGAAGGCGTGATGGGAGTGCATGCGGGACATCATGCTGGGGCACCAAATGCGGGTTCAGGTTCAGGAGCAACAGGGTCTGGGGGTATGAGTATGGGTGCGGCTGCGAGTGCGACCGTTTCGGGAACCACAAGCTCGAATCCTGGGAACGTCAATGTAGGTGTGGGCAGCGGCTCACCGAGCGTGGGTGGAAACGTAGGAAGTGGAAGCGTGAACGTGACGGCCGGAGCAGGGGTAGGTTTCGAGAGTACCACCGATATAATGGGATGCAACGAGATGGGATTTCAATCTGACTGACATCCCTTCGTTCGGTAAGTATATGCACAGACCACTACCACTGTTGGCCCGATGAGAAGTCAAAATACGGCTTAGACTCTGATGTTCTTGGACATTTGGCTCTAAGAGTCAGCGGGACTCTGTCGCATCCCATCGCAGCATACCACAGCATATCCGAATACCCGCGTTTTGCATCTGGCCCTCCTCCATTCACGTTGTCCAATCATTTCTACGTCCAACACCCCACATATGTTGCAACTCACACGACCTCACCCACGTTATTCTCCTCCCTTCACGACGCTGCAAAGGTACTGGCGTTCGTTTCCCCGCCGTGGCGTAAAGAACGGAGAGGGCTATGATCTTTCAAACGATTAACACCCGAAGTAGGGTGGCTTTCTCATCTTTTCGTTGCCGCAGATATCCCCTCCTTCATTGTCCCACGTCCCACGACTGACGTCCGACACGTACCTCATGTTCGCGAATAGCACTGTCTAGGTCAATATTCCCAATCTCAGCTTCATGACCCGTTTGGGGTTCAACACTTTACAATGTAAGGATGGTGCCCGTTGCCTACGACAACCATTTGTAGGAGGGGGCACTCAGATAGGCTTACTAGACACCATTTTTTCGGCTTAGCTATGGTACTAGCTTTGGGACTCTTGGTGGACTTTGAGCTTGGGTTTACACAGACATGTCTTTTCTCGTGCTCTGGATACACCTATGATATTTTGGGATGCAACTATCCTCAGAAATGTTGGCACTGCTATCAGTGGCGTTCCCCTCCACGCGGGCAAGTCGAATTTGGTGGGGATTTACACGTAGGAACGTTGGGAGGGATGAGCTACATATGTCCCGCATACCCGCCTCGCGCTCGACTTGCAGCCACACACTCATCGCGACGCAGAATAGCCGTGAGTATACCATACGCTGCTGGTTTCGAAGCCTTCAGGGGGTGTTGGGTCGGACTGTTCATTCGTTTGTGTGTGCAATCCCCGGGAAGGAAGAGAAGGGAAGAGTGGGAAAGGAGGAAAGCTAGAGATGAAAGAATACGCACCTTCTGGCCACGGATATGTCCGGTCAGTCGTCTATCCCGTTCCATCATCATCTGGTCCCATGCGTCGATATTGTACCGAACGGGCTATGGACGTCGAGGGTGTCGGAAAAATCACCGCCAGCAATAACACCAGCAGCAAGCGGATGAACGAATGAACGGGTGAGGGTAGGTCAAAACAGATGGACGAGGGGAGAACGAGCGAATGAAATGTCCCATCAATCCAGCGTTTCTGATATGACAGACCCCGAACCAACCCACCTTTCCCTGATTTTGGGCCATCTTGGACGTGTTAAAGAGTGTGCCCGCCGCTGCGAACATCGAAGTGAGCAGGCCTGTGGTCGTTCGCGTCGTTCCATTTCGCCATAATAGTACCGCGAGCACCATTTAAAGACGTTAGTGTAGAATCACGGCGAAGTATAGCATACGCGTAGGGTGACCAGTGTGAGGCAATAACAAGTCGTTAGCCCACTCGCACAAAGCTACACGTTCTCAGAAGGAACATACCGAATGGAATCAGCGCTTCCCATGGAACAGGCATCTTCAGTTATTACTCCCTCTTCTTTTCGTCTATTAACTTGGTCCTGTCAACGACTCGAGAGTGGTCGGAACGCGTGTTTGACCGTGTTTGGCTCAGTGGTACATAATATTGGAACGAGCCTCTGCAGCTGGCTCTGGCTGTTGTAGACCCCAATTTGGTGCATGGAACCAGCAAATTCCTGAGTTTTACATGAAATGCTTAGCCTATCACAGATTTCAACAGCTGGAGTCAATCCAACTAGCTTGCTTTGAGACTGATGGTGACTACCGGAATCATGGGAAGCCCTCCAAATACCTCAGCATCATCCTGTAAAATAAATTGCGATGTATGGACTACGTGCGGTATTCTTAGTGACAGCGTGCCACTGCCATTTTCCAGACCTCCCTGATATCCACTTGCTGTCATGTAGCACAGTGGTTGAATACTATTAAGGTTGCATAAGATGGATTGAATATGTAGGAGGTTGCAAGTGAAAGATATAGCTGTCACACAGAGCCACTGATAATCAAGTTCTGGTCTGTCCATTATAAATAGCTCAGTGGAACGTCCTCCACGACTCGACCGCGAAACCCAACGACCGAACGAAATTCGAATCAAAAGTCGATAATCATGGCACCGTTCCTCGAATCCGTCAGGGTGTGTCCTCTTTCTCTTCGATCGTCATGCGACATGACGGTACACATTTTGACTCGAAACGATAAATAGTCCTTCGCCGATGTCCCCATCACCGCAGATGGAGTTGACACTCTCGCGTTCCTCGAAGCCTCTGAGGGGGTTGTCAAGCTGTTCAGTGCGTGTGTCTTGTGTATCACGTACCCCGCTGTCTCTAACCCGTAGGTTGTTCCCAAACTATCTATCGTTCCAAAACTGCGTGTCGTGCCCGATCCCACCTCTGTGCGATGCATCACATCGGGTGGAATGGAACGATCATAACGTATCGCATCGCATGATATTGTGATAATGTAACACTAGAACTCCTCGAGAACCCCGCGTTCAAGCCCGTCGTGGACGATCTCGAAGGGAATATCACTGTACGTGTCACTTGCACACACCTACTCGCACACGAGTTCTAACATCTCGCCAGAAAGTCCGCACCCGGTACAACTCTCATCCCTCTCAATCCTCCACCCTGGAACTCCTCCTCTTCACCGAACACACCACCGAAAAAAAGCAACCCGCGTCAGGAGGTCTCATGTGGCTCCTCCGCGGATTAGCGTTCACCTTCCGGGCTTTACAAGCAGCTCAAACCAACATCCAAACGAAGCTGTCCGAAGCATTCACGGAAGGCTATGAGAAGACCTTGAAGGGTTATCATAATTTTGTGGTCAAAGGGATTTTTGCGGTGCGTGGTGTTTTTCTTGGTGTTCCTTCCCATCGTTCTCTGCTTTGTCTCTTCCTTTGCTGTATTCCACCTTTTCTCAACTCAGTGGATCCGATGCGATACCATATGACTCGATTCGAAAACAGGTCGCAATGACAGCCTGTCCCTACCGTAAGACCTTTTACGATAAGCTTGCATCAGATCCAGCGGGTGGGCCACCGGTCCCAGCCGACAAGCTGAGCGAAGAGCTGAACGTATGGCTTACTGCGCTGGAGAAGATCCTGGTAAGGATGAAGAAAGTGTATGAGGAAAAGAAATATGGAGACGTGAGGATGTGACTTTGTCCCTCCCCTCGTGCTCGTCAGGCTTGGGTTGAACGTGGTGCGAGGTGATGAAGTGCACAGTGGTGGGATGGAGGTCTCCGGAAAAGGAATTTGTGTACATTTGGACCAAGATTCGGGATAGAGGGCGTATAACACCCATGTAAGCTTTCGTTATATTGTAGATGGCTGCATACCTCTCCCTATCCTTCCCAAGTGCTAGGATACTGTATGATACAATAGGTGCGCGAAACGTGATAACAAAGCAAGTATGAAAACAGAGGATGTTCAAGTCCAATGGCGAAGTGCCAGCGTGGAGTAAGAAAATAGCAAATCCAGAATACGAGTGCTGGAGTGCCCAGACAATACATGCCAACCGCAGATTCGAACAACAAAGCATCATTCCACATACGCCACCCAAGACCCACCTACCAACGACGGGACATACGGGGGGGAACCCGTGCCAGATGTCGCATTAACCATCCGTCTCATCAAATAGCGAGATTGGACGTTGCAGCGGAGCTGGAGACTGGGACCTCACATCTTCGGGGACTCTTCCCTCATTCTTCCTTTCCGGCTCCCCATCTCTCTCACGATCCTCATCCCCCCCCCTCTCCCTCTGCCTCTCCCGCTCCAACCGCGCGTCGCCATGCCTTCTCGACGACGACGTACTAGGACGGACAGGTGGATCAGGATACGTCACTCCGACTGGTATAGGTGCCGGTTCATATTCGCCGCCACCACTTCCTTTCCCATGTCCACTACCACTACCACTCCCCTCATGATAGTGGTAGCTTCCTCCTCCACCCCGATTCCCATTACCTTCTACTCCACTCCCTCCGACCGGCGGCTCAGCTCTCAAAGCTGGTGAATACGGGTAATAAAGTGGTTGATGAGGGTAGTAACGATAATGATGTCGTTGGGCATCATTGCGCTCATCATGTCGTCGTGAGTCGTGTCGTGAATCATATCGTTGGTCAGACTGTCCTCGTTGATCATATCGTGGTTGTCGCGGATCTTCGCGTTCCCCGTCTCGTTCCCGGTGTTTGTTCTGATGTTGATGTGCAGCATGACCCGCATCATGACGCTGCTGCTGTTCCTGTCCAGTATCAGCCTGCTCTTCCCTAGGTAATGCGCGATGCGCAGATTCAGGGCTTAGGAGTTCCGGTGCGCGTGGAGAATTGCCGATTACCCCTTGAGAGGCGCTCGATCCGGATTCCGTCTGTAGTCGTTTGTTGGCGATTTGTGTTGTTGATTTGGACAGACGTGGTTAATGTGAATCGTGATTGGATTTCACCGAGCAACGCAGTATATCGTTGATTTTCGAAAATAAAGTCGGAAAGGAAAGAAAAATCAATTAAATCAACGGAGGGCGATTTTTTAAAATTTCCAAACCCCGCCATCCATCCGCCCCCAACCATCGTGTGAAAGTCAAAGTCAAGTGGTCGGTCGTTGAGTGTAGATGTAATAAGAGAACAATGGAACCTAGCCTACCGGTGACTCGACAACGATACTCGGGATGCTTGATTTCGACGTTTCACGTCGTCGAAGCCGCGGGCGTAACTCGTCTCGGCTCATAGTTCGTTCGCGTTCGTCAGGTGGAGGTTGAACTTGAGCAGTTGACTCAGTGGGGATTGGCGTGTGCGAGCGGCCACCGTAGGTGGGTGGTCGAGATTGGTACGGTAGATATTGCGAACTTGAAGGGTAGTTCGGAGGACCAGGAGGAGCCGCCTAGTGTGCCATCAGCACTCCTTTCCACACAAAATGAATCGCACGGAAGAAAAGAAAAGGCACGCACATACGAGCGAGAGGCTGTCCCTGACGGTGTTGCTGTGGATACGACTTCCGGATCAGCCCTCCACTGTTCCACATAATTCTCTCTACTTGGATGTATATGTCTATCTGTCCTCACAAATGCTGGACGGGTCGTCGGCTGACTGCTGCTCCTTGTGCGTCCGTATATTTCGTACCGTAACGGGGTCTCAGTTGCACGTCTTCCCGGGGCGGATACAAGATCATATTGCGAGACGTGGGTCGATGCACGAGATGCCATCGAGGGGGTGCGCGGACGTTGAATTGGAGCGTACATCGGTGGCTGGTATGCGTAGTCGCGATACCGGATTGGCGGGTATTGGTTTGAGTTCTGGGGCGGTTCACCCCTCTCTCTGCCTTCTTGCACATCTGTAGCAGCAATACTAGGTGAAGTAGGGACAGGGGAAAGAACATGTGGAGGAGGAACAGATATGAAGTCAGTACGAGGGTCAGCCCTCGGGATCCATCCGTCCGGAGGCGGAGCGGTCGCACTCGGGCGAACTGGAATGGGTCGAATTGTCTCTGGTTCGTCTGCATCCGATTGCGGAGACGGTGAACGTGCCTCGTGAGATGGTGAATGAACTCGCATAGGTGTCACTACAGTTGGAATGGGCAACGTAGGTGCGTGTCGCGCGGTGTCATATGTACGTACAGGGGGAGCAGACCCTGGGCGCATGCTACAGATGAACAGACATGCTTGTCGGCGTGAGTGATATACAAAAGGTAGAATATGCGTACCGATCGGTACGAGCAGAAGTGCGCAAACGTTCTCGCTGTGGCACATGGACGGGACGTTCATCAGCCCTGTCGGGTTCACGCCCGATATCTTGGTCTACTTCATCGGTCTCGTGAGAAAGTGCGGCGGGGCGGAACCGGCTAGGAACTATTTCTTCTGCAGGCTCTCTTAGCGTCCTACCCTCGTAATAGCCTAAGCTGCGACCCCTGATCAACCCTTCCTGATATCCTTGTCGACGGCCTTCCTCGCGTGCCTGCATGACAAGTTTCTCTTCCTGAAGTTTCCGAGCCTTCGTTCGGGCTCTCGCGGCCTCTGCTTCCGCCTCGTACCGCTGGGAAGACACCTGGTTAATAATATCCTGAGCCCGAAAGATTTCTCTCTGTGCATTTTCAAGCTGCAACTTGTACAGCTTGAGCTCCTCGCGCAATCGTGATGCCTCCTGTTCAGCACGATCCTTGCTTTCTGTGGTTAATTTAAGTTTACTGAAATAATCGAGTGCCCTGCGTTCAGCATTGTTGGCACGTGTCGTCTCTGCGTCAACACGTTCATTGGCCACAGCTAGATAGGCGTTAACCTCTCTAACTTCTTCATCCTGAGCGATCAAGCGCGCCAGAAAGTGGCTAGTCGAGCCTTCTGTGGTATGGGAGCGGTGCCTGGAGGCAGATTTAGACCTGCGGCGGTGGGGAATCTGGTGCGCATGGCCACCGTCGGGAGTGACTCCGAAGCAGGACATTGACGGGGATGACTGGTCGGATTCGAGATCGGCATGGCGGCGCTGGGGTGGTGGTGTAGCCCTATCGCATCATTGTCCAACAGGAGCCCGACGCAAACCAAGTAGATATGTAAGAGTGCTGAGCACAACACGAGGGGAGCTCTCACCTTCGCTCATCTTCAGGTTCCCCCGACAACATTGAATGTTGAACGATGGCGAGCCTCAAGTCCGTGGTGAGTGATTCGTGTATATGAAAGCGAGACGATGAGAATGGGTTTGCGACCAAGTACGGTTCTTATCCCCGAGGTGTGAACCGCTGTCTCGCGCGTGTGCTCGGCACAAAGAAGCGTTGGCAAGTGTTCGCGGGCACGCGCACGACACTATTACAAGTCGAAGTATGATATAAGATGACGAGATGATGGCATTGGCCACGGGGGTTAGGTTAACTCTTACATATGAAAGGGTGGGTGGGCAAGGTTCACCATGGCGCAACACGTGTGTGGAGCATGCCTGGTCACCACCCATTCGCGGAACTTGGTCGATAGATCATGACTATCGATGCCACGATGACACAACTGCTTTGACGCATCGATCAGAAGCTACTCCAGAAGATTGGGCACGTTTCATGATGGCGAAGGTCGTCTGAGAGCTTCATTTGCTAGTGACGGTAGTAGTGTGCCACGTGTTTGCACATACAGGGAAAACTAAAAGTAGTCGAAAGGCTGGTTTCAACACAGTGGGCTCTAAATCAGGAACGGCTGTCCGTTGAAAGCGTAGTCAAACGGTTTGAAACGGCAGTGGAAAGCGCAGATAGGTATGTTACCTTGTGAGTTCCGAGTTCGACACAGTAACTGGATCGAACACTAGTTAGTCGTACTATATATTTACATGTTGAGTACTCTTACGGTAAATGTTTGCGTTGAGGGACCCTACCGTCATTTTGACGAGACGAGTAGGAGCGACAAATTCATACTGCAGACCTCGAGGTTCGGATCTTCTCGTGGTTGTCATGTGAAGCTTGGCACCGGGTACTAGTCTGGTATCCAGACTATCCGAGTACACGCAGGAGCCCGGGGCCCGGGCACAGAAGAGTTCGAATTATATAAAAAGTAGGTACGCGGACGCAAGTACCACAACAATATCGAGGATCTAAGTACTACTGTAGAGAATACACTCCTTGGGACTCGTATGCTAACAAACGAACCAGTCGGCAGACCGACTTCAACAGCGACTCGAACCGAACTCACCAGCCATACTCGGAGGAGTGTCTGAATGGATCACGTTCTCCTGATGGGCCTGTAAACTCGGTTCATCGCCGCCATGCAATGATGCACACACCGCCGGAAGCCTGTTCTACACGTGGACGTTCGGCTGTCTCAACCAGCGAACGATCTAAGACAGCCCAGAGGGTGCTGCGCGATGAAATATAGACGTTGAGAAAATTTGTCCGTCAAGGAATTGACGAGGTTCAGACAGACTGGGTGCAGAATCTCGACTTACACTCAGCGTGTTAAAGAGCGTTCCTGAAAGCTGCTGACTGGTCCACGACGTAAGTCACGAAGAGAGCCTCGAGTCGAACACATGGCTACTAACCACCACCCCCGAATTTGGGTGTGCATTCAAACCTACCAGGCTGTAATGTGCACTTTACATGGGGCCCCACTACCAGTCCACGTCCACAGGGAGCCCGAACTGTCAGATCTCAAATATATTGCAGGCGGATAGAGATTGGTGACTAATCAACTCGTTGCCATATGTTTCCTAACCTACTCGATAAGGAAAGCGCGTGTTCCGGGCGGTCGCACATGGATATCCCTCAGCAACGACTCGCCCAAACACCAATTGCTTGCCCGCGCTGCCACGTCCCTCGTCTCGTAGACACCGTTCTACGAACTAACCCAGTTGTATTAACTATTTACTCTGTAACCAGACTCCGAGTCGCAAAATAGACCTCCTTAGAAGATTATCCATCAGGTCGGTACGCTTATCTCTCGCCGCTATCACGAAACAGCTTATCGCTCCTCTTTCCCCCTACTTGGTTAGACAACCCACTTATCGTTTTTCCCGCCCCCAGAATACCCGGAAAGACACAATGTCTCACGGTTCCTATTCATCTTATTCACAATCCATGATGACCGAAGACGAAGAGGACTACGAGGACTACGTCAAGGGAGGCTATCATCCCGTCCACATTGGCGATACTTTTTCCGACGGTAGATACATTGTCGTCAGAAAACTCGGCTGGGGCCATTTCTCCACGGTTTGGCTAGCCAAAGATACGAAGTAAGCTATCACCCCCACATCCACATCTTTATCACTCCCCTCTTTTTTAGCTGACCACTCTAATCAGGACGAACCGTCATGTCGCCCTTAAAGTCGTAAAGTCCGCTCCCAGGTACACGGAAACCGCACTTGACGAGATCAAACTTCTACAACGATTGATCACTTCCTCGACACCATCCATAGAACCAACACCACAAAATCCAAACCCTCCATTATCTCCATCTCAAACTCATCCGGGCAGATCGCACGTCATATCTTTCCTTGATCACTTCAAACACAAGGGTCCCAATGGTACCCATGTCTGCATGGTTTTTGAGGTACTTGGCGAGAACCTCTTGGGTCTTATCAAGCGACACCAGAACAAAGGAGTCCCAATGCATCTGGTGAAGCAGATAGCTAAACAGGTCTTACTAGGGCTCGATTACATGCACCGCTGGTGTGGGGTTATACACACAGGTGTGTTCCAGTTTTTTTTTTTTTTCCACGTTCGCGCCGCACATGCACCTGACCGGCTCCTTCGCAGATCTGAAACCAGAAAACGTTCTCATTTGTATCGATGACGTTGAATCCATCATCCAAGCCGAGCTGGCTGCCTCAGCAAATGCTCCCTCCCAAGGCCCGCGACTTATTGGCGTGCCTCCTTCGAAAGGTCGAGGTGGCAACCAGACACCACGTTCAGAATCAGTTTTCATAACCGGTTCTCAGCCACTCCCATCACCTTCCTCTTCTTTCGGCACCAGCCCGATGCTCGACAAACTCTCGTTCGGAATGAGCAGGATAGACGGCGAGGCAACTTCCAAACCTGGTTCTTACGGCTCGAGTTCCATAGCTAAAGATGGTTCCTCAGCGTCACCATTCGGTCCTCTGGACAAGAGAGCCGATTCGACGGACATCGCGGCGGAACGCATATCCAACGTATCGTTGGATCCGGGATTCAGCAAAATGTCGACACCACACCCGGCTCACCCCCCAGGGCCGTCGCTACTGACTCAGATGGCGCCACCACCAGGAACGTCAGTCCCCCCCTCATCGTCAACTACCCAGCCCATACAACCCCATAAAACCAAAGTTGCCCCTCTGGGGGATATGGGCCCTGTAGATCCTAAGCTGTCCACGTCGATGATGTCAGTCGATTCTGCGAAGCAGAGTATGGCCTCCTCCGTGTCCAGCGCTCTCGAAGGCATGGAGAAAATTACGGTTAAGATTGCAGATCTCGGAAATGGTTGGTATCTCTCTTTTACCTTTTATCCACGAGACCTTTCTATGGGGTCGCTGATACTCATGAAATGCGCTCGTATGGTATGATTCTAGCCACGTGGGTAGAACACCACTTCACGGACGATATCCAAACGAGGCAATATCGCAGTCCCGAAGTTATCCTTGGTGCGAAGTGGGGAACCAGCGCGGACATTTGGAGCGTCGCTTGCGTGGTATGTCATCACGTCTTTCTCCCTTATCTCAAAGAATGTTGATCCATTCGCACGCGCCTTGCAGATCTTTGAGCTCATCACCGGCGGCGATTACTTGTTTGACCCAGCGTCGGGTACACGGTACAGCAAAGATGACGACCATATCGCTCAAATCATGGAACTCATGGGCGAGTTCCCGAGGTCGTTCGCTCTTTCGGGCAAATACAGCCCCGAGTTTTTCAATCGAAAGTGTACGTTATTCGTTGCCTTGCAGTGAATATGACGCTATACTACCCTGAGCTTAATAATGACGAGTATTCGTGTGCTAGGTGAACTCCGGCATATCAACAAGCTCCGGTTCTGGCCGCTCGACGCAGTTCTGCATGACAAGTACTTATTTCCAAAGGAAGAAGCCGATGCCATCGCAGCATTTTTGAACCCTATGCTCCACTTATCGCCTGACAAACGAGCCAAAGCAGGCGATCTGGTTACCCATTCGTGGTTGGAGGGGATAGTGGTTCAGGGCGAGTTCGATACGATAAAGAGGATCGACGAGGAGGAATCTAGACGCAGGCGGTTGTTACACTCATCGACTGGTCCATCGTCAGGGAGTGGTGGGGACCACAGTATCGATGGTGGGAGTAGAGGTGGACTGCCCACAGTTGGGAAACCCGAGGTAGATGCGATGAAACCCGTCGAGGAATCTGAACCTGGTATCGAGGGTAGCGGGGACAATGCCGAGGAGGATAAACAAAAGTCGTCGACGCTGGGTCAACACCACCAGCCACCTATTCTGTCTGCTCCACCAGTGCCCATTCCTGGGTCATCAAAGGATCATGCGAACCCGCCACATCCAAGAATATGAGGACCCCCCTCCCGTTTCATTCGCTCCCTTGATGCTTTTTTTTCTTTCCCTATACTCATACCGTCTGGATAGACCAACCTCCAGCCAACTAGGATCTCTCTTCCTTCATATTACCCGGTGTAACTGGATTCCCTTTCCAACTGCGTTCTATCTTACTGCTTCATCGCCATTTCTTGGGCAGAGCAACTATGGGCATTTTCTAGAACTGTTTTCCTTCGCTGACCTGATGGCCTCGACCTCGAATCATCACTGTGGTCACAAGTCCCAGCCAGTATTACGTCACGTCCTTTGTGTGCGGTTCTTATCCGGCCACCAACCGTCGCTGTTTGGTCGCCACGCTCACCAACCTACCTTTATATACTCTTCTCGTATTCCTACCATTTTCCGTTGCTGGCGGCCTCCTTCCTTCATCATTCAGAAACATATTCCTTAGATGCGGAGTGAGGTAGAGAGACCTTGAATGTAGCGTAGCCGTCCGTACATTAGTTGCCATTACGACCTAGCAGTACCGTCATGCTTGAGCTAGAGGTCCCGAAGAACGCCGCAATCATTTACTGGTCGGGACAAGCCTACAGTGCCCTGGCAGGTGAGTATTCCAAGGAGATTTTAAAAAGAAAAAGAAAAAGAAATGCAACCCGCAGTTCTTCTGCCAGGCATGTGCGTTGCATGGCCCGCATGACCACTCACCAGAACACCGTCCGATTGTCGGAGAGATGGTTGACAAAAGGACGAGTTCCGCTGCAGCAACTGATGCCCCCCCACGGATCACGATCACCAGCCAAACTACTGGAGGGTCACCTTCCTCTCATATGTAACGGCATGGTAAGAAAAGCGGGTCATGCAGTACGTATATGCAATATATCTGGTCCAGCCTTTGGCGGAACGTTCTATGAGGGAGATAAGCCGTGCATTTGGCCACCAATCGGAATTTACCTTGACAACTGCGTCCCCCCACGGAATGCCTCCCATGACTGATGCGTTGTCATCAGTGCGTTCACTCCAGTCAGCGCAGGAGTCGGCGACCCTCGCGATCTGTGACAAGAGAAAAGGCAGCCTAGAAAGTGCAGTCGCGTGTGCTTATCATTGAACAACAACTTTGGCCATGCGCGTAGTGGTACGTAAGTTGAACAAAGACTTATCCGCAAGTGGAACGGGTCCAGACTCTCTCGACGGCGCTGAGTCGTCCGAGTCTCCGAGTCGTCATTTGGACAATTCCGTTTCATTCGTCGTGTTCCTGAGAGAAGAATTTCAGCCGGGACCTGATCTACAGGCTGAATTGACGTGCCTCGCGGGGCTGACTTTTCCCTTTCCCTCCAACAAGGCCTTCGTTGGGCTTCCGCGATCTTGTCAACCATCAAGGCACCACAACCTTGATATAACGCTGTCTACCCGCATCGGTGAAGAGCCCACAACTGTCAAGTTTCATCCCAAATATTGGAGTTGGAGGCTCTCTTCCCCGTGCACTTTTAGCTTTGCCAAGCACATCATTATTCAGATATTCATGTGAGATGGCATTATGAGCGCACATCGTTGCTTCTGTAGCGATCGCACTGACCCCGCAGACCGTTTTTATACCGCCCAGATAGTATAAAGTGTTTGGTTCCTGAAGGATGTTGATGAATCCCTCCGAGATTTATTGAAGAAAAAGTAAGCACCTTCTTGAGCTTCCAACAAACAAGTAAGTTGATTACCGCCATTCCGGTACCCCGAATTTAGCGGAGACATTAATAAATATTATGTAAGCCCCTGCAGGCCGGACACTCAATTCCGCACAAAAGGGAAAAACCCTCGACCCTGGTGTCTTTGGGTTCGGGAAGAGGTTTCAGGGGGACAAAGAGTTGTTTGTCCTATTCAACACCTCCGAGCGCTACCGCGGTCAGTAGGTCATGCCACCTGATCGCCTGCACAACAGGCAAGGAGCCTAAAAGCCTCTTTCCATTGCCAACCGTGTTGCGCAAGGTCGCCCTTCTGCACTGGGTTTGTACGAATTGAATTGAGTCACTGAGGGTATGATTCACTTTGCAATCTGTCACACTTCACCCTTGGGGTCCGAGCCATGTGCTCGGAGTTCAGTTATATCATAACATCTACTGAATGCAATTTTCTGCGCAATGTGCAGAACAACGGGCGTACAGCGAGCTGGGAGTGTCACTACGCCGCCTATCTTCACCTGGGCCCGCGTTCTCTGTCCCGTCTATGAAGTACACAAAGCCAGTACTCACGTTGAAATCACCTTCAAGGTCATATCATCGGCCTGATCATAGTCTGCGCATGTCATGCTTACAACTCCAGCCTTTCATTATCTAAGCACAGGGATTAGAACTACCCTGTAAGATCCCACTCCCTGACAGTCACAGACACCTGACACATTCTTCTGTCTATCGACCAAACAGGCAATCGCCTCTCGACCGTTCCCGAACCTTCTTCACAAACTCCGTCGCGTCCTCGCGGCTTCGAATCCTCACCTATTCTCGTCCGTTCCATCATTCATCATTCAGTGCAGGGTTGTCTTTCAGCTCCTGGCGCCTGTATATGTCTTGGCGAATGGCGTCTTACAACCACGAACGATCAGAAACGTCAAGTTCAGAGTACTCACACGTCGTGCATGCAGTACATGATGTTCGCATCCAGGGTTGTGTACACGATCCTCAACCTCAGTCACCTGACCGTGCGGCCAATGTGTGGCGGATGTTTTCCCAGCCAGTGCGGTAGTCTAGATTCAGAAGTGACCGCTACATATACGAACATTGTTACTCATCGCGCTTCCGGTCAGTGTGTGTGGCGCACTCGTTCAGGCATTGCCAAAGACAAAGGAAAACCACGCGTCCTTTCATGCCCCGTTCGTTCGTAAGTGCCACGCTACCGATGGGCCGAATACACACCTACACCCCGCTTCTTATAGTGCCGGTGCCTATTCTACACCTGCCAGAAACCTTCCACTAATGCACCGCATTGGGGCACAATTGTCGCAGCGCTCAATGTAGGTGAGGTGAGTGCGGCCTTACCAGACACTGTAAGTGAAACCAAGCTCCTGCACTGCCTTACCTACTACAGCTACCCCTTGAGACATCCCGTGCCACCTTGCCAAGAACATTTTAATCCCGTCCCAAACAGCAGGAAGCGCCAACGCCCGAACACCGCACAGACTATTTTCAATCAAGCACTTGGATCTGCTGAGGTCATGATAGGAAATATTGTGGATGTGTGAGGCCAGGGACTCAGTCTATATCAGGGACCGACGACCAGGCACAGCACAGACCTGAGCCTCGTTGTGTAGATAGGAGGTGCGCGCCACTCGGATTCAGTTGGCGATGGTTTCCATTCAGTCCGCGCAAAAAATTTTGAAAGTCGGCGACCCAATATGTAACGCGGAAGTACACAGGTGCGTGCATTCCACACCGGTGACTTAGGACATACACAAACAGACTTCTGCAACGAAGTTCGGGGTGGTTCGACACCCCACTCAGCCCACCAGATTTAATCCAACCTGTTTCAGTGGCGGGAGCTATTACCACGAAACGAGCATTATAACCAAATCCGTCGCGAACTTCCTGAGCGAGCCACTGCCAAATTATTTCAGCGCAGTCACACGAGTGATCGCCTGCCGCGAGAGATACCTCCATCCCCCACTCATATTTACTTTGCACAAGTATATGTGCCCACAGCGATTATGACTTCTACTCCTGCCTGCCGTCCAATCGATAGTATGTGTCCCACCGCGGCTATATCCGGATAATGATGACAGCTGATGACAGTTGAGGATGATACAATCTCACCACCATCACAATCTGGACTCTGATTGGGTTGATTGCGTCCGTTGGTATGCCAGCAGATGTGATAAGCCGCAACGGTAATTGTATTGTCACGGTACAGTACTCTGTAGTACTCTTTGATCTGCGTGTAAGGAGCTGATGCTGATATCGATAGTAGCAAGCAGCAGCAGCAGCTGGCTGGTGTACCGGCATCTGGCCACTTACCGAACGCATTAGAAATGGATCCTTCCCTGACATATATTTCGCAATTACCAAAATCAACGAATCACGGACCCACACGTCACGGGTCACCCACTATCCGTTTCGTCGGCGTCCGTCGCCCGTCCTGAGATGTGGGTCTGAGAATATTGCTGTCATTCGGCCGTCACCTATATCATATCATATCACACTATTACCAGTAAAGACTACTACATAATCACAGGTGGTAAGCCACAGACACTCCGCGCCATTAGCCCTCTGATCAGGGACTGTTCGGATGTAGTTGTGAGCCGCCGGGCGTGAAGGGTGTCCGTGTTCCTGTGTGGGGAACAAGCGGGAATGACTATGTGATATGATTGGAATTGTGATTACTATTCTCAGAAGCGTCCTTGAAGGTTCCTCTGAATTGCAGTGAATATTGACAGTAAAAGAGTACAGAGGTTAATTCCTGAAACCTGACTGACGGATTATTGTGTGATCTCGGACCTCATAATTACTGGTCACACATTCTTAAGGTACCGAGACTCCGCTGATGGCGGCATACGCTGGTTGCCTCACGCTCAGTTGAGCTGTCGCGAACCGAGTGGATAGAGGTGGTGGGTCCGATCGATAGGAGAGGGCAGAGACTCAGATCGATCTCGGTGTATTCAGCATGCCAACTATCGATACGATCGCAGCTTTCTCATCAAGCTTATGTTTCTACTTGCTGTTACACACACACCATACCGTGGGTTTGAGGCTGGACCGGAGCAATGTCACATTTTTCGCTCATCTTCGCATACATGCATATCCGTGCTTAAGAAGGAAACAGAAAAGGATTTAATCTTACAGGTATGAAGGAGAAACTTCTTGGCAACAGTGATTTTTGCATTGATGTTATGGAAAGATCCAGGGCCCAGGCTGATCGAAACCTATTCCATACATGGTAACGGCAACAGCCTTGGCTCTTCCCACCCACTATCAAAGCGTAGGACACGTGTTGAAACGATGTACTGCTGCATTTTCACAGCCCCACTTCAAACGAATGCCTTGGCTGGAATGCTGTACGAGTGAGAATTGGGAATGAGTCTAGCTACACCTCTGACGGTGTCGGGCTTGGCATCAGCATATGCACTGTATGCGGATCATCCGGTGACTGGTAGGCAACCATAGTGCCCGGAACTAGCACAATAACGGATAATGTTCTAGCAGACACCAATCCTGTCCCATAAGCAGAAGCAGTCCACTATGATACACCGCGAATCAGGTCCCAGGACCGAGGAAACGTTACATACGGAGGCTGATCCGTGTCGTACCTTGCGCTGGTTTTTGGACTTGGCAGGGTGAACGATAGTCTGTTCGAGCCCTCAGGTACGACGAACTCGGGGTGAAATGTTGTCGTCCGTGTCCGATAGGAAGTGGGTGAGAGGGTTTATGTCTGCGATACGGCATTCTAATAGGAATAGTGTACTCGGCGATGGGGTTCGTGTCTTTACTTGTCTCACCATCCGAGTTCGACCAAGGCAGTCACATCAGACGAGATCAACCCGCGCAATGCAAAATGACGACTCCATCCGATCAATGCCCAGAGTACCTGATGAACGCTTGGTGCCTGAATACCTGAAGAGCTTATTGTGTACGTATAAGCTGCGATTTGATGGTTGCATAATGTTGGTTTGGTTGGATATCGTGTCAACAGCCGTTGAACCGGTCCAACACGCTCCCCATCCGACTGTTCCCATCGGAATACGACTATTCGTGCACATCTCGGACAAACCCAGCCCCGCGCGGGCGATGCCATTGATGGTGGACCGGATTGAGAGATCGACTAGACGGACAGGTTTATGGGCTGACGTCGATTGTCCGGCCCTTACCGTGGATTGCGAGCCTCGGTCATATCGGGCTGGATGTTACGTTCGCAGGGCTGAGAGTTGACGGTTATGGCTATAATACGAATTGGACACGGGCACGCGGCGACGGGCCAACAGAACTCAGAAAGGAGCGCTGGCGCTGCGGCATTACATGACACAGGTTCCGAGTTGGGAAGTGTAAATGTCCCGAGGGCATACGGCATAATTTTAGAGTGGTTTAGGCTCGAAGCGAGTCTGGACGGGCACTGGTCTGGCAGCGCTCAGCGCTCAGCACCGGACAGCCGGATGGGGCCGAACAAAGGGATGTTATGTTATGTTGTATTATGTTATGTGATATGATATGCGGTGCCGTGAGTGGGGGAGGACTGTGCCTGGGAACCGAACGGGTGGATCCAAAGTCCGACGCAGAGAGTGCCTTAATTGAGGGAGGGGGGACGTTGGGTGAATCCAGGCACCCCCCCGTCCCGTATTAGAAAACCCGAGTGCCCGTTTGCTCTTTTTTTACGGTCGCGTCGCTTCTTCCAGATGGACGACTCAAAAGCAGCCTCCCCAGTCAAACAGCAACAGCAGGACCACCCCTCAGACGAAGACGGGTCCTCCTCCTCCTCCATGGCTGCTGCCCTCGTTGCCACCCCTCTCGTCCCTCCCACCGCAAACCCCGTCGGCGTCAACAAACGCTACAGACCTGCCCCGGCGAAGACCTTCCAGTGCAGAGGCTATGGCGACTGTCGAATGGTCTTCAGCCGAAGCGAGCATCTTGCCAGGCACATCAGGTAGGGGCCACCCCCGAGTCTATCATCCTTCCTCATTTCTCCTTCTCCTTCAGGAAACACACCGGCGAACGCCCCTTTACTTGCCACTGCTCAAAACAATTCTCCCGTCTCGACAATCTCCGCCAGCACGCCCAGACCGTCCATGCCGATAAGCAGGATCAAAACGAACGTATGATGCGAGACCTCACCTCTTTGCACGCTTCCATGGCTGCCGCTAACAAAGCCGGCCAGAACAGAGGCAAACGCTCCCAGACGGCCCTCAACCAACCCTCCGCCTCTGCTGCCGCCTCTTCGTCCGCCTCAATCTCCCAACACGACCCTATCAAAGAGGAAGAAGACTTTGTCCCTCCGCTCCACTACCGTCCCGGTACCAGCACTGGATACGAAGGTACCGACACTCTCATGTATACCGACTCTTGGAGCACGGACGCCGGTTGGACTTCGTCCCATCCGCGGCCTCCTAACAACCATTCCTTTCGTGACTCCAGCCAGTCCTTTCGTGTCCCCCCCGCATCCTCTGCTTCCACATTCTACCACCAGCACCAGTCCTTTCTCCCCATCTCCTCCGGCACCACCTCCTTCAGCTTCACTGTCCCCCCATCACGCGATGCCAGCCGCCCACCAACTGCAGGCGCTACCTCGACATCATCAACAGCCGAACCATCATCCGCTTCTCGATCCCTCCCGCCACTCGCAGCAGTCGTCTCCGCATCCATCCCCCATCTATCATCCCAACAACCCCCACCAACCACAACATCAACACCCACACAACACGTACTTCCCTTACCTTCGTCTACATTCCCAAGAAGACCTCACACCGCAGGTCGCCCAGGCACAGCTCCAGCAGCCTTCTTTGGCCCATCAAAACCTGCTTACCCTGGAGGACCTGGATTGGCCCATCAACACTCAGAGCTTCCCCTTCCAAGCTATGGACGTAGCACAGAATTGGCAGCAGCAGCAGTCGCGACATCCGGATCTTACCACTACCGGAACAACGTCCCCTTCGGCCCAGCAGCAACAGCCTCATATGAGGCAGAACCTGCATCACCTACAGCAGCTGCCTACAACGACTCACCATTTTCCTTCCAGCCTCCGCCACTCTCCGAATCCACACCCTCCAACCTCAGAAAACGACCTTTCTCCGGACTCGACCATGATGACTCATCTCCGCCACCAGCAACAACGTCACGTCGGGAACTCCCCGTCACCGTACTCCCAGGATCATCGTCCTCATCTGCAGGACCTACAACAACTGACTATGACTATGGCTCCGAGTCACGCCCTCAGTCTCGACGACTCACCGTCATGGAACTCTGCAATGACGCCGATGTCCATGTCGATGGAGGAGCTCGCCCATTTTTACCGTCAGCAGGGAATGGCAATCCACCAATCGGTGGAGGGGGAGGAGCTTCGAGGCCAAATACATCCTCCGGATTGTGCTCTTCCGCATCTGCCCTCGCACTCGTCGACCGATCTCCATCTACACCCTCCACAGTCGTCGGAGCAGCAGCAGCAGCAGCACCATCCCCTGCATCCACACCTCCAAGCGCGGCTGCAACAGCAGCATCAACTATACGCGCAGGAACTCAGACGACAGCAGTTGCAGCAGCTACATCACCAGCAACATCCTCTACCACCAGTGGGCAGGCGTCTTTCGGGTTCGGTGGCTTCATCCCCGGAGGAGGGAGTGGAGCTGGACCAAGCGGAACAACAGGAGGGGGAGGGGTATCTGCGAGCGTTCGGAGGGAGTTCAGTGCCTCACCTTCACCCGGCGGTACAACAGGGCTATTTCCAGCCACCTCCGCAACCTCCGCAGCAGCAGCTACACCGTCTCCACCACCCGCATGGAGCTCATCCCCGTTATCGAGGCGAGGAGACCCGGAGTATCAGTACGGGTTCAAACCACAGTTCAGGGAGTACGTCGGGTCGGCCCAACAGTCGTACCACCATCAACAGTTCGGAGGGGGACATGAGCAACAACAGCGTGAACGGGAGCAGCACCGCGAACGCGAACGGGAGACACGAGGATCACCTACAGTCACGAATGCATATTCCTCAGCGGCAGTTGGAATGAAGGCTTGACTGAGGCGGTGTTTTGGTTTCGCGATATCGGACGTTTTGTTTCCCCTCGGACGTTAACGGTATGCATGTCTTAATGTGTTGTTTTATTCTTTGGGTTACAGGATCGGTGACCTTTTTTTTTTTTTTTTCTTTTCTCACCCTCGTTCGCGTGCTCAAAGATATCCGTTCCGTCCCTTTCGTTATCTAAGTACAAAATGAACTCTAGCTTTTCACCGATAAATACATACACGCTTTTGTGTTTTCGGTTTGGGCTACCTATGTTACATAAAAGTTGGATGCGCACTAGCTCGTTAGGATTCTCTTTTATACTTGTTCCGCTATTATTGACGTTACTACGCGTACATATGTGTATATGTACAATATACCGTAAACACACCAAGTCTCCGAGGCATCGTACGGGTTGGAAAGCTCGCTTGGCCGCCGCTCCCTCGGCCTTGCAAGACCGTTGAGTTTACTCTGCTTCTTCAAAAATGTTAAGACAGGGAACGGGCAAGCACCTTACGCCGGTAGAGTGTAAGTGAATGTTTCGATAACACGCTCGCGGGACCTCTGCAGTGAGATGCACGACTAGTACTCTCGAGGCAGGCTACATGCACCTTGACCTCTCAAAGATTCGGGGGCATAGTCCACAACGATCCTGAAAAGGGATATGCCGACGCACAAGGCATCCTACAGCCTGATTGACTAAATATCTGGGCGATTTCACACCCGACTTTCAGTTCGGCTCACAAGACACCCAAGGACTGTTTCGCTTACCATAAGATGGTCCTGGCCAGACGGAGTCGAGGGATTTCCTTGTTTCGCCAAGGCGGACGTGTCGATGTCATAATGCTCAGTACAACTGCTGCACTGCGTTAGAATCTCAGCTAGCGAAGGGGACGGACACGCCAGCGAGAGAACGGGCCAGTCGGAGAAACATCACCATGACGGAAAACATGAAAACACGATTGAGGGTGGCTTCTTTTGTACGACTGGAATCTCCCCGTGCCACGCTGGCCGTACGTAGTCAGCAGTTCATTCCGCGAGGTGTACACGCTCGAACGAAGGGAAATACCCCGTGCTTACATAACACGGTGAGATGGGGAAAACTTTTTGGTCCGATGGCGGCGTTCTATACCCTCCCAACTTAAATAAAAGCCATCTGTTCGTCCGACCGTCGTCGTCGTCCACTAGACTGACGTCCTGAACGCGGTGCAGAGCATTTAGCGTTTTTGTCACCGAATACCCGTCACTCCTTTGATTCCACCCAGGGATGTCCCTTCCAACCTCAAGTCAGTCTTGGCATGTTCCCATGTGTGGCTTGATGTGATAGAGCGCTGGAACTCACAACAACTCACAGATCTGTCACCTTCCACTTCCGCTCCTGCTGCTGGGTATGGGCTTCAAACCAGATAGGTGTGCTACTGCGATATTGACATCGTTATCAGGCCTTCCACCTCTTCGGTTGCCGCAACCACTTCAGCAGCTCCAACCACCAGTTCGCTCACGTCAGCTTCTCAGAGTGCGTCTTCTTCGCTGACGACAGCGACTTCCTCTACCTCCAATGGTGCCACTTCGTCCATCACTTCTACCGGTACTACAACGTCAACGACTGCTGCATCCTCTTCGCAGTCCACGTCGACGATCGTAATCCCAGTCACTGCCACCACGCAGGTCGAGACTACCTCCGGCGGAAGCGTATTCACAGGTTGTCGTTACATCCACGACTACACCTACATCGTCCGGCTCCAATTCCTCTGGATCAACCTCGTAAGTGTCCTTACGGTTGGGTGCTCTATCCGCTAATTTCTCGATCACAGGTTCTGGAACAACACTGGCGCTGTCGTTGGCGTATTTACCGTCGTTGGTCTAATTGGTTTGGCACTGCCTCATCCTCATCGTGACTACCGCTATACGTCGGCGGCGTGCCATCAAATTCGATAAAGAGATCGCAGCTGCAGCTGCCGATGCTGCAGGCGACAACTCGCTTCCCGTTCGATGATTATTCCGACCCCAGCGGTGGCGGCTACGGATACTCGGACAACAGCCATGGCACCTTCGGACAGCCTCCCATGCGCCCTGTCGAATCGTTCGGAATGACGGAGATGTCCCAGTTTGATCCTTACGCAGCCGCCCCGAATGCTGCGAGTGGAGGAGCTGCTGCCTTCCAGAGATCCAGAAGCAGGAAAGAGAGTGAGGTTGGTACACCGGGCATTGCTGGCGTCGGTGCTGGAAACCTAGCTCGCGAACCGAGTCGTCGTGCGCCTTATCATGCCTTTGCCGGCCCCAACCCTCAAGACTTAAATGACCCCGTGGCCAACGTCCGGTACCCACGTAGTACAGCCACTCAAGATATCCTCGAGGCCGCTGGCCTAGCTGGTACTGGTGCAGCTGCCGTAGCCAATAATGGCACCGGTGCATTCGTCAATCGTAGACCCTCCGAATATACCCAGAATACCCACCGGAGTGGTCGTTCCCATGCATATGCAACTTCCAGTGAGGGTGGCCATCCCTCTCCGCTTCAGCCAGGGTACAACCCTCCGCAACGCAGTAATTCTCGCGTGCTAGCCAACGCGTCTGACCCGTATGGTGTCTGCGTCCCGGCGCCGTATCCTCCACAGTCCCCGAGTCCCCCTCTCTCTAATCAACATCGGATGTCGGCATCTCCACCCCCTGCGAATGAGTACTATGCTGCTGAGAACGAGGATCAACCCCACGAAGGTGGCCAACCTGCCATTCCCGCGGAGAATCGCTTGAGCCTCCAGGACGATACCGACTACGCTCAAGAGCCTCGTGTTTTGAGGGTGAGTGAAACCTTCTTTTTTTTCGTTCCGGCTGCAAGTTTTCGATGATCCAATTCTGCAGGTTATGAATGCGTGATTCTCCTTCGTCTCCAAGGTATCGTACCGTGAATTGGTGTCTCCTTTATCCCGGCGTGTCAGTTCGTATACGCAAGTACCCCCCTCCCTTCACTTCTTGTTTATTTGTTATGTAGTACGTGCAGATTCGATGCATAGGCTATGTATCCTGCCAGCACCGCTTCTTGTTTTGTCTTTCATATTTTTATTATTTCGCGTAGACAGGCCTGTTTTACATTATGCTTTTGCTACTCATGCAACGTGTAAAGTAGCTGCTAAAATGCAATGCCGCGCGTGTTGCGCTTCTCGAAGCCAGCATGTCTAAGAAACCACGTTGCTACTGTTTGAGGTCTTTTCGTCCCAGTAAGTAATCCGAGCATATAATGGCAGATATCTATCCTAATCAAAACGATCGATGTCACATGCAGGGACAGAGGTAGGAAACACTACTTAACAGCAATGCCTCGTGGATCTATCGAGGTTGCTCTACCAAAACCTGAACTGCGATTGCAACCTCCTCGCGGCATCAACAGCGAATGATAACCTCAGCACTAAAGAGGATCTGGAAGTTGAAGGGACCACCTTCATGGTATGAAGATTTGCTCGACGTTTGTGACAAGTGGAATTGGCCATTTGCCGCGAGCGAAAAAAAGGCGGCACGTAGTCATCCGCGGTTCGGTTCCGTTGTCACCGCCTGTAGGATTTGTATGCTGGGGTCTCGACGAAAGTAACAGAATCCATTGTGGCCTGTCAACGTGGCAATGCCCAACTATTCCAGTATGCAAAGTCGCCTGCGCGAACCGGTATTGACAACAGACCGTCTGCACGTGGTACTGGTGAAGGGAATGACATTCGTCAGGCTTCGAAGGATAGGGCATAGGGGACGGGAACACTTGTAGATGCGACGGTCCGTACAGCGGATCAATGAGGGGGTTCGTCATCACCAGCAGCTAACGAAGACCAGTTGGAGAAGCACCACTTGAAGAACTAGCGTAAATTCATCTATGTTGATATGGATCCCGCGGGTGCTAAGAGGACCGCCCACAAGGAGGCAGAAACAGATGGCGGTGCGTGCATAGAATTCCCTGTTGACGCTGCGAGGGCAAAGTGGGAGAGGGAGGTACCGGTACATCAAAAACTTGACCGCGGTATTCTGAAGATTTTACACCGAGAAAGCTTGTAAGGACGGCTCGTTGGGAAAGCAGGTGATGGGGAAGATGAAGCTTTAGGGACTAAGGCACTGGACGTACGAACATACTTGCTCCATTTTGCGATAGTACTAAAGAATCCAACGGTGTTTTGCTCTTCGCCACAAATGAACCGAAGTCGGACCAGGGTCACCGGACGGAAAGGCTGGACGAGGCCCCCGTCTCCAGTCCTACCTGATAGTCCAAGCCAATGTTGGTCAGTATTCCTTGCGGGTTTAGGAGTATGTGATGTGCGTGATACATAAGCGGGTCCGTCTGTCGGACAACAAAGCGAAGAATATGTCCCAAACATACGCAGAGTTACATATGCCGGTGTCAGCGTTGGCTGCTAGTATGCAGGTGTCACGACTCACGAGGATTTGCACTTGTCCGAGGTGTCGTCGAGTTGTCTGGCTGGACGTTGGTGATGATTGGATCATTCTCGGTTCTTCATTTGCGGAAAGTAAAAAAGCAACTTGATCGATTCAGTGCGTGGAGCTCGCGTGTAACGACACTGTCGCATCCATGTAATACACAGAAGGGGATGCTGCAGCTGGGGTGTACGTGGAACAATGGAATCCTGAGTACGTGTTCAATTAGACGATTAAACACGCAATGAGTTTGCCAGCCTTGTTTGCCTTGCTATTGTTAAAAGGCGTGGCCGATGATTGCCCGACGACCGGAGGCCAACATGTGAAGTGCGCTCTCCGGCAGGTATGTTGGACACGCCCGCTCAACGAGGTGCGCAGAAGGCCAAGCGTAACCTGTAGGAACATTACACACCCTCGAAGGGCTCTCCTTCCTCCGTCCGCTGAAGACAGGACACTTAGTACGAAATATTCAGATGGACAACACTGTTTACACGTTCTCTACGCAGGGGCGTGCCTTAGGCTTCGTAGGTATGTACCGGCTGCAAGTACTCGTGAGGGCGTATGGTGAGGACTCAAGGGAAGAAGCCAGAGCGGAAGGGGGCGGATAATGGACTCGTGACGCAAGGTGCAGATTTGGATTCAACGACAACAAGTTGACTCTCTTCCTTTCAGAATTTCCGAGTTCTCGAGTCCCCTGAGAGAGCCAGTCTTCTCAGTTCCTTCGAGTTCAAAGCTGGTCTTGGCTTTAACGATGTCTGTCTACTTAGCTTAGTGTTGGATTGGTGCCAGGTTAACCGTCAATCATAGCGTCGGCGCTCGCCTAGCCATCAGGTCTCATCACCCCACTTCGCGCTAACCGGAGCAGTCAGCCCTCAGCGGCAGGAGCGACACAAAGGACGAATCAGCCTCAAAGACCACAGGGACTCGTTCCGCATGCCGACTTCGATGCTCAAAGCATTCCGACCCAATACGCATGGCCGCAGAACGCGGCCGTCCTTTCTGGCCAACTAGACCCTACATCGGAGCGCGCAAACACCGTATACCCTCCTAGCGGTACCTTCCATTTTTCGAGATTGAGAATGAAGAGCCAATGGGCGAGATGTTGGATTGACAAGACCCGAAGTACAGTCACGTTCATGGGATTTCTGTTTTGTTCGATGAAGTTACCTCCGACCATGCTAATGACATGGATCCAATTCGTGGGTTCTCCGATCGGGACGAATATCGCTTGGGGTTATCTCGTAAGGAGGAAAGGTTCCATGCACAGCAAAGCTGGTCTCGTGGTCGAGTTGAAGTGAACACCGCTGAAAGATATCTTAGGTGAATCGGTGTAACGTGTGCAACTGCGATCTGCTGTGTGAGCGGCGCGGGGCTCCGATTCTGAATCTTGTGCCTTGGTGGGTCCCAGAACTCAGTACAGATATTTATTTTGTGTTCACGACAACAAGGAACATTTGCAGCCGTGACGGTTGCTGCATGGTGGCTGGTTCGTCCCTTTGTCTCCGTCCACGTTGGTGCAATCGGATCTACCTTAGCCCCCTTTGACTATGGACTCCTATATTCCTGTTGTCCGTCAAGCCACTGTCCTTATTCCAGAACACCGCAGACATCGTCATATACAAGCAAGAGCTCTCAGCCCTATGAGTGCATGGTTTCATGGTGGAACAAGTTTTCGCTTAGTGGGCTTTTTTATGTTGCAGGCGGCATGATATTCAACAGTCGCAAATACGTTCCCCTGTCTTCTGGTGTTTTTGATTACTCGACGTTACGTCTGTTTTCCAATGTTCTCACCTATCTGCGTGCGTGTGTACTCTAATACCAACCAGTGGAGATCGGACTGTGCACTTGTGCCATTTGCAGGGCTTGCTGTGTTTTTGCACATTGGGTACGTGGTACTTCACACATCTTGATTCACCCATGCCTTCATTTATCCATCACTAATTGCCAATGGTTGGTGGGTTACAGAGCCATCGATTTGATCCCCAAAAAATTCGGCGCATCAAACCTCCAGGGCGTTTCAGCAGCCCCAACACACACATGGCAGCGGAAGTCATCCGACTACCAATATTCCGGACGAATTATTACCCGGTTCCGTCTGCAGCACGGCTATGTGAGATCCTGTACTGGATGTTTCACAGCGGGCGCCAGATGGTTTTGTCTGTTGTGAACATCCCGACCCTTTGTGGCGTAGCGTCAGGCTCCCGAACTTCGGGATCCTTGCAAACTAACTACAGGGCCTATTCATTTTTCACAGCAGTTCAAATGGTCTTCTCTGCCAACGACAGGATGTCATGGAGACTCTGACCACTGGCAAGAACTTGTACATTGTTGTGGCCAAATTCCTATCGACCCATGTCGACCAGAACTTGAACGTATATATGGTTGAAGGCAGTAGTCCTGGTGTGCCAACAATTTCGGTTTCACAACTCATCAAACATGTCTTACTATCAGGCCATTGACACATACAACGATGATTGGTCTTCCGAGGTGATCTCCACGCAATCTCAAGAAGCATCATGCTGATTCTTCTCAGGACGAGCAGGCGTTGCTCAATTACGCTGCTGTTCCTCGTGACCAACAGCCTCACACTTGTGGTTGGGTGGTCTGTGGAGAGCCTTGCAACTCTGTGCTCTTCCCGAATGAGTTTTCTGCCCACTTGAGGGCACATGGCGTTAGAGGAGGTGGTAATGCAAAAATGTCTTGCTGCTGGGTAGGTTGCACCGAACAGATGAATACAGAATGCGTGGTGCGACACGTACTCGAGGTACATCTGGAGTTGAGGTATGAATGCCCCGACTGCGGGCGGACTTTTTCGCGCAAGACCAGCTTGAACAACCACCGCAAGCAAGAGCACTGAACACGAGGTGGGACCTCGTCAGTGCCGAGAGGATATGTAACACCCCTTGCTATCATATAGCTCAATAATACCATGTTCCTATTTCGAACGTTATGTAGTATGTGTATAGGTTGATTGGATATCCCAAGACTCTAATTAGATTTGCCACTTTTTGGATACTACAGTTCCAGTGCGTGGGAACAATTCCCGCAGCAGACACCAACTTCTAGTGTAATAATCACTCGCGACTTGCGAAATTTCCGGAATAAACTGACTTAGCCTGCTCAAGGTTGGTGACGGCGAACTATTATGCTCATAGATCTGCTCACATACTGGTGCTACGCGGCGTAAGTATTTTGCGTACATAATAAATATCTTGACACGTTCAACCAAGTCAATGTAATGAGACTCACAGGATCCAACTATGAACAAACTCGCGGTAGCCCGAGCAGTACTGGTTGCGCTTGAAAAGCAAGAACAGAAACTCCTAGAACAGCCGTGCAGCGTCCGAGTTGCCGCTCGAGCTCAGAGAGCCAAGGTCGAGAAACTCATCAAACGATTGCCCACGTTACCCATCAAACGCATTCCCAACGAATTACTTTTACAAGTCTTAGAGCTTGTGGTCCACCCAGCAGAATTTCCAAGGCCACCCACCGTGCAACTCGACTACAAGAAATATTTGGCAGTCGTTTCTCGTCCTTGGAGAACCCTGGTACTGGACATCCCAACCCTGTGGGTTACGACAGAGGTCAAACCGGCCAGGGGTAACCGGTGAGGCGTTGGTGAAAACGCATTTGCGTAGGAGTTCAACTTCCTCCGGACCGTGGCTTTGCAAATACGACACAATTCTTGGGTTGTTCGATGTCATATCCGCCCGCGCTCATTGCTGGCGCAGTTTTGCCTTTGAGGATGGGAAGACCTCGCTTTCATTAGGCTTTCTGATTTGACATTCCCTCTGCTCACACGCATCACCATTTCTTATACCCTCAATTCTCTGTTGGACTAATTAGAACCCGGCACCCTCGTATTGTTTCAAGCGAAGACTGTCCTCGCCAAGAGTATCAGCAATTCCACGGTGCCTTCATCGAATCAACAGACTTCCTGATACCTTTTACCCTGAACATTGGACTTGGATTTTGGTGACTTGTACGACGAAGGTCAAACTTGGCTTCCTGGATTGTTTTAAACATATTTCTTGCCTAACTCAACTGTTCGGTCTCTCTCTTGCTGGTGATATTGATACTAACTCCTTTGACCTACTTCCCGACAGCACCCATCTTCCGCTGCTGAAGAAGTGTGTGTGTAATGTGACCCGTCCCACGTTCTAATGTAAGCAATCGTGGCTCCCAGGGTCGCCTGGAGTGTTGCCCAAGCGAGTGGGTTGATTCCTCAGACGATATCGATATCTTTGCCAGCTCTGACTCCAGATTCAGTGATATTGGCCACTCGGCGTTTCGTGACTGGATCAATTGGAATAAATCGGAGGCGGGGGTTATCTGTTCAGTATTCTCTGCTGTCCGTCATTTTGGTTCCCGATGGTTCGACTGTGACGCCGGTGCTGTTTTCAGGATACCCAGAACATTTATACTGGAAATACCTGGAGAGGCAGCGATGGTCCAAGGTTTCTGAATCACCTTGCCTCGTGGCTCGAGAAACGACCCGGCCCGGGTCGATCAGTATTACAGTTGAAATTCTGCAATCTCAAGCGCAGATGGTGCATTTCATTAGTGTGCGAAAGACCGCACGAGCTGTGCATTCTGGAATAATTCGACATCAAGTGGCAGCAGCCACGGTGGGTTGGCGTTCCATTTCCGTTTCCTACGTTCGTATGTCGAGCTAACTATCATATATTCACACGGTAATTGCGAGGAGTGAAACCTGTCCTAATTTCGCGAACAGCCTTACTGACTGCGATAGCCTGACAGATAACGCCTGGGATTGACACCAGGAGCCCTTGTTGCTGCCTACCCAGTAAATAACCTGTCGAAATTTTGAAAAAGCATCCGGTCTCATTCGCAGCTATGGAGCGTCAACCTTCCTTCGCTGCAGCGCAAGATCTCGATCTCCCGGTTCTTTGACTGAACACGACATCGCATGATAAGAAGGTTGTCCGATAGGCCGTGACGAATGCATACTGAACCGATGGCAAGCAAAAGCCCAAATATGACCGTTCAAGACTGTCGCGCTTCAGCTGTCCGCCTTGGCGCTGATACAAGTAGCCATAGTCATATCAGTTTTTCAGTGATGATCAGATGAGGATTTCCTGCAGTCTGCTCGATAGACTGCGTGGTCAGATAAGTTCATGATGTTGGGTCAAGCTTGAACTTGAACACTCGGCCGTAGGACGTAGAGATTGAGAAAATAACAATCTGTGATGGCATTCCCCCGTGCATTTTAAGCATATTGTGAGCAGCTGGCATCAGTCGAATTAATATTTTGGCCGTACCTCGCAAGGTGAAATCGATGAGAACGAGGAAGTGTCACCTCGTAACTTGCAATTTAAATCCCCGGATGAGCTGCCGTTGACCATTCGTAACCTAACGGTATCCAAGGACTCTCTGGATAGTCTGTTTTGCAACCAGTAAGAGCAACAAAACGCTCTGCAGTGGAAGTGCGTCTCACACACGGGCTTCGGCGCAGAATGTAATGTTGATACCAAGAAGCGGCAATGGCGCATCCTTGCAGATGAGCTTTTGTACGTGAACCGACTTCAGCCCAGAGGCCAATACTGAGTATAGATCCGACATCCCAACCTAAGGATAAACGCTAGCTCGTGCCAGTAAAATTCCTACTTTGAACGACATAAGTCGGTGTACCAGGAGTAGAACATACCCGGGCAACTGCGTAAATGTACGAGCATCAGGGTTGGCGTACGGTCTCTAGCAGCTGATCTAATGGTGGTGCTATGGTGTGGCAAATGCGAACGAGATTCGGCGTTAGGGTCGTGGCAGAGCAACATCGGATGTACCTTCATCCACTTGAAGAAGCCAAGAGCTACGGTCTGCTCCACGCATATAGACGCTTCCTGTCTACCGGTGTCAAACATAACTTGCACCGAAGGACGAGGGAGTTAAGATAAGTTGCGAGGACTGGTCTAAAGAGTTAAAGGATGACGCCTGTGCGAGATACATGCCGAAAAGGCGACACTTTGCAGGCACAGATGCACTTCTATCGAAGCATTCACTTCTTCATATTGGATCCATCAGAAGCCAGTGGGTCCTACGGCAGCGACAGAACTGCCTGGGATATTCATAGGACCGGCAATATATGGGGGATGTCCGACACGGAACGTTATTATCATAAATAGGTTGCTTGCCATCAAAGGGGGTGAGGCTAAACCCAGGGTTAGTCTCTGTTCTCCAAGCTAGGAGCCTTGCGTTTTCAGAACTGCAATCGTCAGCTTCTGCAGTTCTTATCAACAAGTGATGTTGCAACACCTCACTGACAGGGCACGTTCCAGCCACGGTCTAGAATACGACGCCTCGAGGCAATGCTTCTTGATGGTACATACCCCTGTCCACCCACCTTACAGCCGATGCAGTGATTGCGATAAAGGTCGAGCCGCTTAACCTGGGTTTACGCGCAGGGTGCACCGAGCACCTACCTCGCAGATTGGCAGATGCAATGTCAGCATGCATCGGTTCCGGGGGTACCCGGCGTCTGAATAGATTTCTGGGCAGCTCGCCGAGGGTATCTCGGAAGACCCTGATCTTGCTAACTTAGGTTCACAGCGAGAATGTATGTAAGTACAAAGTCGCTGGAAACGTGGCGGAAGAACAAAAAGTCGAGAACAATGAGAGGCACACAGTGTTGTAACCCGAAAAGGAAATGGATGTTGTTGGACAGTTTATAAGCAAATCAGTGCTCAGAAACACAGCCAGTCCTGCACTCCCACCTCCTTCGCTGGCCGTTGTCGTCGTCGTCTGCTAATACGATCCTATAGTCCTAATCATATCATGTCCATTCCGGCCTTCTCAATCCACACCATTCATGGCTCGTTCGCTGGTCTTCCATCGCTGTCTTCTTATTACTGTAGACCCTCATCTTCATACGCTGGCGTCGTAATGGATAATCGCATCTTCTCAGACAGACGTTCTCTAGGCTTTGCGAAGGACGGCTGGAGTTCCCCCTCATGTCCTCCCCCTTTCTCCTCGGCGCCCACTTATGCCCACGGTTGAAGCCCGTCGAGCGCCACCTGCTCCGCGCACCTACGTTCCTCAGCTCACCAATTTCCCAGCGCAGGAACCATTCGACGATGCCAACGTCGTCCCTGTTCCAATTGTGAACAACGATCCTTCTTTGAGCCTGAATGCAGTGCAGCTTATCCCCCATGCGCGGACCCGCGTGGCATCTCAGCCGTCACCTTTCACGGTCAAGTTGCCACGTACAACTTCGTTGGATGCCTTGGTGCGACAACGAACTGCACAGAGGGCGGCTGCACAGGACCACGAGGCACGCTTAAAGGCTGTGGCTGGCATTCTGTTAAATCGCGGTAATTCGACGGGGCGGTGTGGTCGGAGGCTCCCTCCAAACCGAGGCTCCAGGACGTACAGACGTAGCAGACTGTCGACGATGACAAGCGTCGAAGACCTATGAGGTTGGTATCTACGCTCACGTGGTCTGTTGCGTCACACTCATGGGCCGTGCACAGATGCCCTGCTGTGCATGTGCACCTCGCTGGTTCTTTTATTCTTGGGATGAATGATACAGTATACCGGACCCTTGTTTATTTCGCTGTGGTTATCAGTACTAGTACGGATGTATGATAGGTCCCCGGTGTTTCCATGTATTTTATCTCGGAGAATTATCGAGACCCCGACTTAGTCATTTACCCGGAAGAAGGCATTCCATTTCCCACACCAATCGGCGCGCAGATAGCACACTGCCTCTGCCCAGCCTCAAGGGATACACAAAAAATCAGTAAGAGGGTCTAACGACACCCTTGCTTACCATCTATCGCATGCAGGTCGTAGCCAGCAATGACAGAGAACAGGCCATCTCTCTGACGTCTTTTAAATTGCCCTCGGATATGTGAGCACGCCGCTGGCGCTCAAGCACGGTAGAATCCGGCATTTCTCTCGGCATAACAGGGCTCCCAGAGGGCCCAACTCTATTGCTCATGTTGGTTAAAATTCCGGGACAAGTCTTACGGCCGTACCTTACCCGCTACCGTCCCCCAAGCCCTGCCAAAAAATCTTGCAGACCACATCTGTCTCCTTGCAACCCAAAGAGTTGTGGCCAATGAACTTTTCCCTGGCTACGGACAATCCGTTTAATACGACTCTCATCTCGCCGGAGGGTCGAGTGGTTTATCGGATTGAGACGCTCACCACCAGCTATGCGCTCACAGGGACGCTCACCACTACCGTCTTAAAAGTAGCACCTAATGGCCAAAACGAAGGCGAATTGGGCCGTATCGTATGGCAGTCTGGCAAACCCGGTACCGTGATCGCCCACGGACACGAATTACACATAGCCAAAAGTAAACTGTGGGGATCGTGAGTCTCCGCACTTGCCAGCCTCTGAGTGACTAATTATTATCTTCTCTTTGTGCGATCAGGTCGAGAACGTTCACCGCTCTCAACGGTCAATCGTATAAGTGGTCCTTCGACAACGGATCTTCGCTTGTAAGTAAGGCATTATCGGTGGTCCCGATCAGCTTACCGATCATCCCTGCACTGGTTTTTGAATTACGCGCCCAACCGCGCCCATGATGTCATTCTGCTACCCACCCACAACACTGTGGTCAACCCAAAAAAATGAAAAAAAAAGATGGCCAGTAACGATAGCAGGCAGGCACCTGCCGCGACCTATACGCCATCCACGCGATCTAACCCTGGCCTTCTCCATTTCACACCACATGGACTGACTATCACAGGAGACGTTCTTGTCACTTTCGTCTGTGTCGAAGGCGAACGGAGGAATTCTCAAAGAAAAAAAACGTTGTAGCACCTCATTTCTTCCCCAGCTTTTTTGTTCCTTCTCTTTCTTTGTCTTCTTCTCTACTTTTCGTGTCCCCAGGTATCCCATCCCCTTTCTTGAAGCATTTTGACTGGAATGCACCAGTGTGGGAATCGGTTTGGTTTTATGGTTCTGGTTTCCCGTTCGACTCGTATTAATACATTGTATGTGATGCACCGCCTTGCACGTTAACGAGATTTACTTCCGCGGAAGGAGAACAGGATCGATCGTGTGTTGATCGATGATTGATCGGTCTAGTGATCTGTACTGTTCAGCTATCTCAGTTCACTCGGCTCGTCTCGTCGCATCAACTATTGGAATGCTACGTAGATGGGCTGCACGATAGATACACAGGACCTGCAATGCAATCGCGGATGCGTGTAGTATCGTCCAATTGACGAGGGCCGAGGTTGACCGGTTTGGAAAAGTCAAGACGAACCCCTTGCAGCAAAAGAAATAAGAATAATCAACTGTGTCATTGACTCGTAAGCGATACTGTGCCTGAAGCCAAAGTGGCAGAGGAAACGGAACGGAACCAACTAAATCTTTGATTTGTGGTATGAGCGCCTAGATAGCTATGGTAGGTATGTACTACACTGAATATGCAGTTCTATATCGTAACCATCCTCCTCTACAAGTAAATATCTTCCGCCGCCTGTATCTGTGTGTAAATAGTTAATTCTGGCCACCGTCCGTGGATGTACTGGACATTGTATCCGTTGTATGTTTTGTAGACTCGATGTCCGGTAACATCCGAGCAGGTTGTTCGTCGTCTTGGTGGATATTCAACTCGTTACGATCGTCACTGGTTGCGGAGACACTATTTTCGGCATGGTCCTGATTCTTACGGGGTCCATGTTCCAGAGTTTTGCCGGGTATCTTCCAATAGGGCACACATCGCGCGACAAGTCATGTTGAACGAATTACGAGTCCCCAGATCAGGCCCTTCAATATCACAGCAAACATGAACGCACCGGTAACCGAACGATATACGCCGCCAACGTCGAGCACGTAGCAAATACAAACACATCATGGAGCGCAACGGCATAGGAATCCCGCACTGCTCTTTGTAATTCCGGAGGAAGCCTAGCCGCTAGTGTGGCAGAATGGCGAACGTTGTTAATGATCTGTGGAATAGATTTTGTTAAGCGCATAGCTTTTAACTGCATGTCACCACTTGGTAGCATGCGCAGGGGCGAAGAGTAATATACATATATCACAGGAAAATGGGCGCGGGAATGAGAATGCACCCACCTCCGCAGCATCAGGTCCGTATATCCGTTTACGCAGTTCAGAATCAAGTTTGGATTGGAACAAGGCTGATGACACTGCCACACCGCTGACTTGACCTACACGCCGCAGAAGTGTGAGCACCCAACAGTCGAACAGTCAGGAGCAAGAACAGTCATCACCTAACCCTCGGAAAACCTGACCAAATCCAGTGCCTACTGCCATTAAATCATCTAAGCCCGTCGGTTAACGCCTGGCACATGAGGGTAAGTGAATATAATGACAAACCTGGAAGATGTGCCAGCAGCGCAACTGACGACAAGGAGGGTATTCGTCAGCCACTTGCACCGCATGGAACGAACGAATGCCTATTGTACCAAGTGTCGTTTGCAACACTACAGCATTCCCAAATCCTAGCGGAATCTACTCTGGCCATCAGCACGATCGGATAGAATATGGTTTAGTTTGATTTACGATGCTCAACCAGGACTGTAACGGTCCCGAGTTTTCATGGATAAAGGTTATGAGAAGGCTGCCAACGAACGGAAAGAATCCGAACATAATGTTGATCACTTTGTATCTTCCTGTGCGGTGCATCATGTAACTGATTGGCAGTTATGAACCAGGTTATCAACAATCTTGCTACATATACTTGCCCAGCGAACAAGGAACCACATGACATAGCCATACTATTCGGAAGTAAGTGAAGCCCTGTGTACGGTTAATGTCGCCGTTCCATAGATGCGACAAATGATGACTTACCAGCTGTCGAAGCACCCGTCAAGGCGACGGTCTGGAACCACATGGGAAAGAAATACATGACCGAAAAGTTGCACATCGCAACAAGGAAGTTGCTAATTCCGACGACCACGGGAACTGACTGGCGAAGGAGGGCAGGAGAAAGCATCGGCTCGGGGGAAACACAGAGTTCGACCAAAATGAAGGCAACCAAGAATGCGATTCCGAGGATAAGCGATACGACAACCAAAGGGTCCGACCACTGTGACCGTGATATGAATATCGTGGACTAAAAGGGACACCAGACAGTACTCACAGGCAGATCTTCACTGAATTTCACACTCAGGAAGACCAAGAATGATCCGACCTAGACCGTTACTTTACGCTTAAGGCTTGACAGGTCAGCACAAAGGCTTACTGCAATCAGGAGGGTAATACTGCCGCCCCAATCTATTCTCTTGAGTACATCCTTAGCACTCCTTCCCATACCCTATTCGCAGCTATGAAACGACCAAAATCATTGTCGAAGTGGCGCTCACCGGCGTCGCGTAAACCAGATTGCAAGTTGTTAATGTAAGCGACAGGGCAAAGAGCGGTAGTTGCATAATGAAAGCCCATCGCCACCCAAATCTGATTGGCTGACCTATGAACTGGTGCAGAATATTGGAGCATGGACACACACTGATCGCTAACAAGGCCACCTAATGGCCCACCCAGACCCATACCCAGCTGATTCAGAATGCGTCAGTGGCAGGTCCGTAGAACAAGGAACTAACAAAACACACTCCACTGAACACGCTGGAGAACCCTTGCGCCAAACCTCGGGACTGAATTGGCGGTCAAATTTTCACGGTCTGGCAGCAGAGAATGGATGATGTGCGCACACGCATGCTATACATATCACTCAAGATGATTCTAGATGTGTCGTCGGCCTTGATTGCGTATCAGGCATTACAGTTCGACTTACGTCGTAGTCGTCATTATTCCTCCGCCACCCATGCCAGAAAGCTATGTACCACGTATTCAATAAGTACGCCAGCAACGTGTCGCACTGTGAGGATAGAGCTTACGAAGCGCGCTGCCACAAGCATTTCCATATTTTTTGAAAGCCCGCAAGCAACAGTTCCCAGAAACGCGGCCAAAACGGCTAGTTGATTTGCGCCTCTCCGTCCCATCACATTGCAGAGACGCCCATAAAGTGGGGTAAAGGTGCACACTGCGAGCAAGTACCTGAAAACAATTCATTCTAACGTCATTTACGTAAATAGAGGGGAGAGAGAAGAGCTACTTGCGATGTTCCAAGCCAACTTGCTTCATTTGACTTGTTGAACTCCGATGATATGGACGGGATTACTGCGGAAATAATTTGAGTCAAGGGGTCAGGAGCCTGGAGTTACCACGGAAAATCCATACGTGTCGCAACGAGCGTGGCTAACATTTCCGGAGGGAAGAGCGTCAGCACAGAATGGGAGCGGGAAGCAACAAACATACTGTTCAATGCCTGATAAGCAATTGAGTCTGTCATCAAAACACTCCCGACAGCATGAGATCGCACTAACCGATAGGAAGGTGGCTGACCACAAACCAGCCAATATGGCATAGCGCGTGGACCTGGATATATCTAGAGGACCGACATTCGCGGATAGTTTTGAGCCAGTCCTGCTGGTAAAGGATTGGTCGTTACTAATATAGCTGGTACTGGGCCGCAGTAAGGGATCCTGTTCTGTGGCCATTGCAAATCAATCGAGAGCCCTTCGAGGCGGCCAGATATCAAAGAATCTCTTTACTAGGTGAGGGGCTAGCGTATTAGCCACACCCTTGCAATTCACGGAGGAGGTTGGTCTCTGGGCAGGTGTGTTGTTTATTCTCCGCTCCGGCAGTAGTACTTAGTAATCGTAGGCTACGGCGCAAGCGCCGGTACAGGGTGTCCTGGCTGGTGTACATAGGGTTTACTAGGCCGTTGGCGAAGCGGAAGGCTTGATGAGTGTCGTTCACTTGAAGACAACGATGTATGTGGGGGGGGGGGGGGACACGCCAGTATGTGAACGTGACAGGCGTAGCTACAGTATTCGGTCCCTATCAACGATTTAGCCTTTCCAATATTCAATATTGTCTTTGATGTCGGGCTGTTGTTCAACGAAGCTTTTCAATGGCGGAAGGGACACCGGTGCTTGACGTTCGCTGCAGAGGAAAATCTTCGGGCCTTCCTTACCATCGTGGGACTCGGGGATACTTTGTTTTGCATGGAAGGCCGTCTTGCTTCCCGGATCGCCCGATGACCAAGTACTAAGTCGTACGAGCCCGGTCCACTCTTTGCATGATCTCAAAGTGCTGGTAGAAGGAGCAACAACTCCGCTCCCTGTTACTACTGCTCTTCCCCTTCGTAAGCTCATCTCCCGGCTTTTCTCGACGTCCGGTAAGGAGTTATTTTCCCTTACCGAGGTCATGTTCGAATTCTGCATTCTTTGGCCCTGCATTCATCCTTCGCCTTGTTAAACCGGTGCGGTTTTCACATCCGTGCAGTCTTTAAGGTCAATGTAACGAAGCAGGAACCCGTAGCATCACTTATGACTTCATCGCACCGGCGGGTCTTCTTGATCAAAGGAAGTGATTTTGATCATTATGTCTGTCTTCCATTACTGACTGGAACTCACCACAGAGGGGTGAGCACACTCAATCCGATCACAACAATGACAGAACATGGACAGGTGTGTGGATTTGAGCAATCAAGCATATACACTGATACAAGATGATGGACAGAGAGAGAGAAAGGGAAGAAAGAGAGATATCCCCCATGGACACAGACAGCACCAGTATATATACCTTCAAAGTCCAAACAGTGCAACACAGGAGGGATCTGCATGCCTGAATGAAAGTGTGATAGGAGGTGTGATAGTGTGATGTGTTAGCATGAGTGACCTTGATAGTGTGAGTGGCATGTCAGTGGTAAGTGTATGCTTACACCCTCCCAACCCATAAGAAAAAGGCAATGGGGGGAGTGGTGCATGTGTTCAGTATTCTTTGTCAGTGTCTCCACATCAACATCCTTCCTCAACCTTCTACACCAACCCTTTCTTGTCCCCAACCACCAACATCCCCTATGGTGGGTGTTCTCTTTCCCAAACATCCAAGGCCTTGCAATCCTCCAGATCTTTCTTCATCAACCACTCATCATCCTCTGGCCCATACCCCAGCCACTGCACCAAGTACTTCTTTGTCCTCCCAGCCTGCTTTTCATCCAATATCCGTTCAATCAAATTTTCCAACTGTCCATTTGCTGTGACCACAGGGCCCAGGCAAGGCAGTTCACATGAGGGGAATAATGTGGTGTTGTTGGGCACAAAGGCATGCAACTGACTGATGTGGAATGTGGTGCAAGCATTGGCCATGTGGGGCATGTCCAAGATGTAGGTAGATGTCTTGGGTGAGGCTGACAGGATGGTATATGGACCATCGTACCATGGCATGAACTTTGCTACATGATTAGTTCCATTAGCAATGTACTTGTGTCTATGATGTTTAGTAGATAACCAAACCTTGTCCCTGACTGAGAACCTCAGGTCAGGGACATGGCAATGATTAGCTGCATGAGCTTGAGCTGCCTTAGCAGCAAGGAGACTGTCATGAGCCTTGAGGACATCCATCTCTAGGCAGGCCAAGAAGGTTGCCCCATCAACCTGGTCTGTCAGAGTCTCAGCATCTGAGGTGGAGATGGGGGGTAAGAGTTGAGGGGAATGGCTGAGGTGAAGTTGGAAGGGTGAGAACCCTGTACTGTTATTAATGGTATTCATAATATGGAAACATACTCAAGGGAGGGCCTTGACCCAGCCTTTCTGGTTGTGCTTGACATGGAAGTGTACACATTGATTAACAGTCTTGTTAGTGTGCTCGCTGGCCCCATCCATCTGTGGATGATATGACAATGACATTTTGAGTTTAATACCTGTCAGCTTATGAAGGGACCTCCAAAAGCGAGACATAAAGAGCTTATCACAATCCGAAACAATCTCCAAGGGGAGACCATTCTTGCAATACCAATGGTTGAAGAAGAGTGTCGCAAACTTGGAGGCCATGATAGAGCTGTGGCAAGGTACCAAACGCATGTCAGCCCCAAGATGGTCTGTCATTGTCACAATCATATTGAACCCATGATCTTCTGGCAAGGGACCAATGAAGTCGATAGCTACTGAGTCCCTGCAAGTGTCAGGGACTGGTAAGGGGTGAAGGGGACTGGCAGGTGCTGTGGTTGGAGACTTGTTGTGCATGCAATGGGTGCAGGCTGGGATGTATGCAGCAGTGAGATCATGGCGCATGTTAGGCCAGTAGAAGGAATTATGTAGCACTGCATAGGTTTTACCAGTGCCAAAGTGGCCCAAGGCCTCATGAGCGAGATGGAAGAAACACTCATGAAGTGAATGTACGTGAGGGATCACTAGACAGCCTGTGAGATACAGTAAACCATCCCATTCCTGGAGACCAGGGAGCAAGTTGAGGAGAGAAAAGAGTTTTTTGCAGAAAGGATCCTCCATGTATCCTTTCAAGATCTCCACCATCAGCAACTTATCCACCTCAACCATTGACACTGCAGTGACAGGGGGAACATCATCCAAGCATCATGATAATGCATCAGCACCAACATTATGCTCACCTTGGACATAGTGGATAGTGAGGTCAAATTGTGACATGTACTCCTGCCAGTGAGCTTGACATTGGGAGAGATCACATTGTGTGGTGAAGTTCTGAAGAGTGCAATGATCTGTATACACTACCACCAGGGCACCAAGTAACTCAACCCACCACTTCTTCAAGGCATGAATGATGGCTAGCAATTCCTTCTTGTGCACCAGGTAGTTGAGTTCAGCACCATGTAGAGGAGTAGAGTCGAAGGCAACTGGTCTAGCAGTCTCCCAAGTAGGTCCCCAGGAGAGAATCACACCAGTATGAAAGTCCAACATGTCACATGTAAGGAAAATATGGTTGTTGCCTGGGTTGTCATGGTCAATAGTTGTCAGGTGGTGGGGACTGACTACAAGGTCCTTGACAGCCTGGAAGGCCCGCTGATGTTTGTTGGTCCAGGTAGGAAACTTGAATTCCATGGTCTTTGTCGTCAATGCATTCAGGACACACATGTGTTCTGCAAGATTGGGGAGGTGATCAGCAACATAACAGACCAGACCAAGGAAACCACACATGTCTGTAACCAATCGAGGGACTGGCCAGTCAAGAATCCTAGCGATCTTGGAGGAATCCAGCTCGATCCCTTGAGCCAAGATGCAGTGGCCCAGGCAGAGTACATCAGTGCAAAACAGCTGAGTCTTCTTGAGGGAGCAGAACAACTTAGCATCGTGAAGAGCCTGGAGAATGGTGTGAACATTGCATTCATGTTCCTCAAGCATTTGTGACCAGATGATAATATCATCGAGGTAGATGTGACAAATACGACTGATTAGGTGACAGAGAGTGGAGGACATACGATGTTGATGAACTGCAGGGGCATTGCACACCCCCATGGGCATAACTGTCCACTCATAAAGGCCCCAAGGGGTGTGTATGGCCAACCACTTGATGTCATCCAGGTGAACCTTGGTCTGAAAGAACATGTTGGTCATGTCCAGCTTTGCAAAGTATTTATCCTTAGCACAATCATGAAGGATCTTGTCAATGTGGGGTAATGGGTGATTATCAGGTATGGTGTTCAGATTGAGTTGTCAAAAATTGTTCACCCAGCACAGTAAGGCTGTAGGGTCCACCTTCAGGATGATGAACACAGGCAAGGAGTGTGTGCTATTGGAAGGTCACAAATGCCCTGCATCAAGGTGTTGTTGTAGTAATGTCTTCCAAGCCTCATGATATTTCTTAGGACAATTGTATGACTGAAGTTGAATCACTTTGTTAGCATCTTTGGGTTGCATGCAGAATAGAACATTGTCAGGCAGGGCATCAGTGGGTGGGATGTCTGCCAGGAAGTGATCCACAAACTCCACCTTAAGTTGCATGTCACATTTGGTCAGTTCTTCAATAGCAGCAAGGGCCTCAATGCGATGTTGTACTGTGCCAATGATATCTACCCCACAGACTGTGGTGGATGCTACCTCCACAATTTTGTGATACTTCAGCAAAATGCTTCGCAGCTCCATAAGAACCTCACTCTTAACCTTCTTAACAGCCTGGATGGAGGGAGTTACTGGTGGGGGAGAACACACAGAGACTGGGGGGTTCATTAAGTTGTAACCAGTATCTCTACTAATACAAGTATGGAGAGCATGATCAACAACAAACTCATGGGATAAGAACAGAAGGCCCAACAGAAGTGGGGTACACAGCCCAGGTGCGATAATGGTGTGAACAGAGCATGAGCAAAAACATGAATCAGGAGAAAGGCAAGACAGGGTAACATAGCTTCCTAATGACATGACTTCCCTGTCACCAGAAGAAAGGGCAACCTACACATTAAGAGACTTGTGCAGTTGATGATGCTGGAGACCAAGCTTCATGGCGAGGGACTCATCAATCAGTACTAGGTGAGAACCGCTGTCAATAAGCACTTTTACAGGGAGGGGGAAGGTCAAGTTAGGTCCTTCAAGAAGACAGGACCAGCGGAGATGGGGGACAGAAAGAGGGGCAATGTACTCTTCACCTGAGTCTGTTCCATCCCCAAGAGCAGCAGAGGGCATGATGACCACGATAGTGTCTGCATCATCTTCCTCCGAGATGTGGGAATGCTTCGGAGCTGGTTCATCTTCCACGACTGCCATGACAGGCTTTGCATGTTTCTTGCGAGCAACTTCAACATCAGTGGCAGTCAGTGCCTTATAGCTCTTCACATCTGGGAAGTCATTGGGACAGTTGTGCATGGTGTGGTTCTGGAAAAGATGGTGACACTTGAAACAGCCTGAATTGTCACAGAGGAGCTGACGTTCCTCAATGGTAAGGGCAGGCAGGTGCATGTGAGTATGGCCATCTGGCCCCTTCGAGTTCGAAGTTGTAGTATTAGTTGAATGGCCTGGCTGGAAGGGTTTCCTC